CTTCCCACCTAACTTTTGGAGGATCTGATGCCATGTTCTGGCCTGATGGGCACTGTATGCGCATGACACATATACATACAAGTCAGCCAAAGCACTCGTACACATAAAAATAAAACAAATGTCTAAAAGAAAACAAAAATATAATAACACAATCATGGATTTGAGTGAAAGAGAGGCTATTCCCCTACAAAGTCTCACTAATTTGTAAAATTATGTATAATTTTAAAGAACAAACTACCTATCCCTGCCTATTATTATTATTTAGCATAGATTTTTGAAGGTACTACCAACTATCAAATGACTTAGAAATAAACAGCTAACACACATAGGTAGGTGGGTGAAGAGGAACATCTCTGGAAGTCACTTTATATAAAAACTTTAGGTGACCCCTTCTGCCTGGTTACTCTCAACCTATTGAGCTGAGATTACTGGCAATAACATTTTCCTTATATGTCACAGAAAACAACTCTAGATTTGCTCTTCTCTTTCTTCTACATGTGTACTTTATATGGCCATATAAGAAGTACACAAGGTCACTGGATAAACAAAAAGTGATTTTTTTCCTAAGTAAATCAAAATACAATAAAGTAACAGCAAGTCTTTTTTTTAACCTTAGTAAATACAGTCTCCTCTAGAGGAGTGTTATCATTAATTACCACTTATTTGTTAGAAAATAGTGACTATAAATCAATTCAAGGTCTCTAGACTCTCTGAATATTAATGAAGATTTCCTCTAACAAAGGCAATCTGTGGGAGCATGTAGGTTAAAAAGGCCAGCGTCAGAGTAAAATAATATTCTCTATTCACAATAAGGTCAGATGGAGTTTAGTCAGTCCCCTGACAGTTTCCTTTCAACGGGGAAACAAGCTCAAATTGGAAAACTGAAGGATGGCTTCTTTTAGATGTACGGTAATTACAATTTGTCCATGATGTCATGAAACAACTCAGCTATGTTATGTCTTTAAGCTAAAAGTAGCGTATGATGTTGATGACAGCGGGGTGGAAAAGTCACGAGGAATAACTTGCTGTCAGTGTGCATCTGCAGGCCGCATTTTGTGATTACTGCCAGAAGATGGGGAAGGGTTCCTCTTAGTGGGGACACTAAAGCTGAGTCAGTGACAAACGGTATAAAATATCTTAATATCTCAAGAAAAATAGGCAAATGCTCACCCTCTGTCTGGAGGAAGGAACATGAAGTGAAAACTCCTCAGGCTTCAATCATCCTTGTCATTCTTTATATTAAAAATGGACTCCCCCACCCCAACCTTTCTTCAGTCCGGGAATTGCCATTCCCTATAACTATTGCACTCTTTCTGTTGCACAAGACTTGCAATTTGCTATAACAATGAAATTTGTCTGCATTTTAACTGTTGTCATTATTGTTGAAATGGTACAACATATACTTTAAAAAGTAGATGTTTTAATGGAAAATATTCAAAGCTCAGCTTGGATTAGGTGAAGAAATGATAGACTTTTATCAAATGTATCAAAAAAATGAGATGGGCTGATGTCCGGCTAGAAGGGGAAATGTATTATGAAGCAAACACAGTGACCTCTTAACAGCTGTGAATGTAGGAAGCTGTGGAGGCTTACTGTAAAAATTTTCAACTTTCCTAAGCTTATAGAGTTCCCTAATAAGTTTCTGGAGGTGGCAGAGAGAAGCAATCCTACTTGAAAGCTATTTAAAACGGTGAGAAACAGCCAACCCCCACAAAATGGTTCTGCAAAAAACAGACTAGGCAAGGTTTGCTGCTTATGTTTGTTAAGAGGGAAAAGGTCACCACAACTTTTCTTCTTTTGACCCCCAGGAAAGAAAAAGGTGCTGACTTCATATTGAGGGACAAAGCAGGTAGAAAAGTGGGCTTATTACAAATTTTACACTAAAGTTTTTCTGGTTGAAAATATGATATTTAACTTCTTGCCATACAGGACACCTTCATTTTTTCCCTATACTTTGGATTACCTAAATGTCCTTTTTGGCAATACCCACTTAATATGAATCAACAAGAAAGTATTCAATAGAATCTAAGAAGTCATTAAAAATAACTAGTATATTGAAAATTTTGCTGACCTATTCCATGTTGTGTGTATAAAGTATGTATGACATGTATCATAAGTCTTTCAATACATACAGCTTCCTGAAGAGGTATGAACAAGACATGCTCATGTCTGAAGTTCTATCAGCGACTTTCTGGCAGTCATTTTGGACATATTACACACCTGCATTGCATAAAACAGGAAGTGTAACAGAAAGAAATTTCTTGACTACTAGTGAATCCATACGAGCTATAAATATGCACTTACTCTGAACCTACTATGGACATGCACAATGCTAAGCCTAGAGAATAAGATAGAAATAGAAAAAGCTACTGACTTCATGAAATTATTTTCACAAAGAAAATGACAAGTTTAATTATTTATATTTTTCATTGAAAATCCGTTCAATATGTGGTTTTCTGTCTCCCACCTCCTCACAGGTCCTTCCTGCCAACCCCTACCTCCGCCCACCTCCATGCCTTCTTTCTCTCCTTAGAAAACAAATAGGCAAATAAAAAAGCAAACAAAACCAAATTTTAAAAAGTGGAAAAGCACATGAAACACACAGACAGAAAAACAAAATCCATAACACAAAATTTGAAACCGTGGTATACAAATCAAAAGACTAGCAAGATTTTAAAAAATGTCCAAGCAAAGCAATTTGAGACACACATCCACAATTACACCATTTGCTTTGTACTTGCCATCGACTGCTTGTCATGGTGCCTATGCACACAGGCAATTGTAAACAGACTCAGCTCATTTATAGACATAGGATTGCAATAGAGGAGACTCCTTTGCTTAGAGGCTTAGAGACCCGTGGGGAGAGTGTGGGAGTATAAAGGATGAACAGTGGTGAGCTAGGCTGAAGATAGAAGACAGGATTCCATGCTGAGGTGACAGCAAGGTGCACACAGCTACAAGATTTGAATGCATAGCTACAGGTAGGTCAATGTCACTGAAGAAAAGCCCCTGGTACACAGTATGTAGGGAGGCTAGGGAGGCAGGCACTGAACACCCCATAGAGGTATGCAAAGGGGCATAAGATTTCTCTTGGCCACGCTTACACAGCACTTCCAAATAGTGATGGTGGTTAAGTGTGGATATAATCACAAAGTACCTCTGAAACACAGCCAACAACTAAACATCAAGAAAAAAAAAAGATTTCTCTTGGCTTTCCAAAGAATTTTAGAGAGGGGATGCCATTTTAAGGTTGTATCTTTACTAGAACTTCTTGGCTCCCGTGAGAATAAATTTGAAGGGGACAAGATGGCTAGATAACAGAGTACTAGAACGAAGACCCGAACCACCACAGTGATAGTAAGTGTGGTTTCTGAGAAGGTGCAGACATGGTACTGCATGTAGGGTGACTAATATCTGGCTTGGTTGAATGTCAGCCTTGTCCCAACCAATGTACACGATACAGAGAAAAACGCCAAGCATGATGCATTCAGCTCTGGATGTGTTGAACTGGATAGTTTTCGGGGTTATCTGGGGTTTGATTCCCAGAATTAACATGGTGGTTTATAAACAATCTGTAACTCCAGTTCCAGTGATTCTGATGTCCTCTTCTGACCTCCATGAGCACCGGGAACACACAAGGCACACACACACACATGCAGGCAACAAACATTCACACATACACAAGAATTTCTAAAAAAAAATCTAAATAGAATTTCCAAAAGTATATCCCTAATGTTTAATTATATTTAGGAACATTTTTAAAATGCTTATCTGCTATTAGCATGTCTTAGTTGGTGTCACTCAAAATCTTTTGCTTAATTTTTCATGTTGAGCTGTTTATTTTTTTACTGCATTTAACAATTCATTACATTTTAATTCATCTTTAGTATATTATTAGGGTGTGTGTGGAAGGGGGTACAGGACTTCGGAGGGCAAGGGATAACTGTGGAGCTGTTTTTCTTCCACCTTTAATTGGGTTCCAGGGACCAAACCAGGTTGTCATACATGGAACAAGTTCCTTACCAGCTGAGCAGTCTTGCTGCCCCTGCTTTACTCTCTCTCTCTCTCTCCCTTTTTTTTTTTTTTGGTTGTTGTTGTTTTTTGTTTTTTGCTTTGTTTTCCATAATTCCGTTGTCAGATTTCTGGTTTGCAAACACTTTTCTCTCGGTGTTTGACTTTCATCTTTTAAGGGAGATTTCGTTTTATTAAAGGACTTTTTTTTCCTCTCTCTACTATGTCTTTGATGTCATACCTAAGAAATCTTTCCCAGACAGGTCAGATTTTTTCCCCCTGTGTTTTCTTTTCATTTTTAGGTCTTTCCATTTGTACCCATGATTTATTTTAACGTGTGTGTGTGTGTGTGTGTGTGTGTGTGTGTGTGTTTTAAAATGGTGCAAAGAATAAATCGATGTAGAGGGACTAGGGAAAACCAGCTCGGAAGGCCTTACTGGATGAAGAGGTCAGAGACCCTTTGGAGGAAAAAGGCCAGGCTTAGGAAAGCTGGGCTAGGCAAGCGGGCATACTGCACCGAAGCCATCAGGAAAAATCTGAACAGCCAGTACTGCGTACCAAGACAAGCAATGAAACTGTCTTTCCAACTTGGATGAAGGTACCAGTGAACTGAAGAAGGGCATCTTCCGTCCAAACTTTTCCCTTAGTGGAACTGATTGTAACCAACCAGTCCCTTTACGAGAATCTCGGCAACAACAGCTGAGAGGTCTGAAGCACCTTTTATTCTTTCTGTTGTGCACGCCACCACCCCTCCGCCATGACAGCACTTTCTTTGATAAAACTGCCCTTTAGTTAGCATACTAAGTAATGGGCTTCATTATGACATTTTTCATCCGTGTATGTCACCACACTTAGTCATCCCTTGAGCACTCCTAAAAGGTCACTCTCGACCGAGGGTGACTAAGGCAGATCCCTGGGGGGCATTCCAGCATCAGATGCTGGGGACAAACCCCTGGAAGGAGTCGCGGCCCTCCCCGGCGGGAACTTACAACCTCACTCTAAAGGGCTTGTCTGTCAACCTGTCCCCTCCCTAGGGTGACCGCTGGTTAACCTACAGCCGATCCAAAGAGCCGGGATTCAAATGTGGGCAAAGGCGGGGTCTGCTAGGGAAGTCCCTCTGGTGGTCCCTGCGAGCCTGCGTCCGCAGGGCTTTTGGGAGCCACCGCCATTGGGCGGGACGCCCGTGGGGATGCGGCAGCCCCGGCTGGCCCGCAGCGTGGGCACGCCGGCTCCTTTCCAGACGCGCAGCTGCGCGCGTCCCTGACCTTCGACCCCTGCCCCAGAGTCCACAGGTCAGTCCCGGCCCCGGCGGGAAGCTAAGGCTGTCTCCGCGAGCCGCCTGCCTCCTCCCCTCCTGCCCGTCGTAAAGTGCTGCAAAGGGCCCTGCGCTTTACGGCGCCGTAGGTGAGGCCCGGAAGGTCTGTCTCCCCTGGGCACGTGGTTTTGGGTCTGCTCTTACGGACGGGCTGCAGGGAGACTTTGAGGGGCGTGAGCGAAGCACCCACGGGTCCCTAAGCGGGTAATTGGATCCAGCTTTGCTTGAGACAGTCATTCCAGTCGTTTCTAAGAGCGTGCATGATGTAAGGGTCTCGGGCGTGCCGTGTGGTGTCCCTGGAGCAACGTTGGTTTTTATCTTCATCCCTACACGTTAGGGTCCCCCGGTGTTAGCTGACGGTTTTGTTGTTGTTCCCTTCGTCCTGCAGTCTCCCCGTCCCTGGATTTCGAAATGCTCTACCTGATCGGCCTGGGCCTGGGAGATGCCAAGGACATCACAGTCAAGGGCCTGGAAGTTGTGAGACGCTGCAGTCGAGTATATCTGGAAGCCTACACCTCAGTCCTGACTGTAGGGAAGGAAGCCCTGGTACGTGATTAAAGTCCCCGGGCGCCTGGGGAAGAAAACCAGCAGTCATCCTATTCTCGTACACCAGACTGCACAGAGTCTAAGCGTCTGGGTTTTTTTTTTTTTAGGACCTTTGAAACACATACCCTGGGTCTGGAGACAACAGAAAGCGCACTCATACACTAGTAACACAGTGACTTGGGACATGAACCGGTGGTTTGCCCTGTTTTACAAGTCTAATTTTTGTATGGCATTCTCCAGTAAGTTAAAAAAAAAAAGAAAGAAAGTGTACACTCTTGAGGATAGTTATCAAAATCCGTCATTTCATGAGCTAGCCAAGAAATCCTCTCTGTGTTGAGTGCTAATGAGGTGCTGATGCCTTAATGAGTTGGTTATACAGTCAGCAAGCAATCTGAAAGCTCCCTCCTTTGAAGTATTTCCACTGGGAACCGCAGTGATCTCCTTTCTGTCTGCAACATATCCAAAGAGATCTTACTCATAATCTCCCAGGAAGGCTGGCATTCCCACATGTGTATGTAGAGTGAGCCCGAGACTAAATATCCACAGGATTTATTAGTGTGTTATATACCTAGAGCAGGCTCTCATTAAGGGTAAATACGTAAATAATAAATAGGAGCAGAAGGGTCAGTTTCTGGTTGATTGGCAAACTCAGAGTGGAACATATATTGAGATAAAGGACTGATGGGTGTGTTGTCAGAGGAGGGGAAGGGTGTTTTTAAATTGTCAAAATGTGAGCCACAGAATTTCTGGTCATTCCTCTCAGACTCATAGCCCAGAGAATTGGGAAGTTTGCAGAGTTACTTGAAGACTAAATTAAGGCTTGTTCTTGAATTGGCCATGCATTAGAATAAAAATAATGTCTAATGTCCAGCTTTGACTTGCTGGCCACACGTGCTAGTTTTTACTCTTAAGATGACAGAATTGGGTCTCTGGTCAGTTATCTAAAACCATTTGAGAGAACAGGCAGGTTAATAGAATAAGGTGTTGGACAATGGCTTAGAGGAAAATTGGGATATAGCTTGTTTTTGCCTTGTGACATGTCCTTGGACAATTCTTTTACTTTTAGTTTCTTACTGTATAAACTGAGGCCAAAAGTGTCTGCATCCTAGGCTGTTAGAACAGTGCCCAGCACAAAAGTTTTTGGACATTTTAGTTGCTGGTGGACACACTTCCAAACTTCTGTCTTCATTTGTCAAAGAGAAACAACCAACTGGAAGGCATATAGTGTTTTATTACCGTGCATGTGAAAATGCTTTATAAATAAGTTAGGAATGCTAGTAAAGTCTTAATTTTTTTCAAGACTTTTTTTGTCCCCCCAAGCCTATGTGGAGTTATTATAGAGTGACAATCAGAGGTTTGGTCTGACCTTACTTGTAAGTAAATTATTTGTATCTTCTTAAGGTGCTAGAATACTTGTTATTTCATAGTAATAAGTGCTAATATTTATAGGACATTTATTTTGCTCTGTTTTATTTATTTTCTTTCCAGTTCGAAGAATTGAACGCAGGGTCTCTCATGTGCTCCACGAGCTCTCTTATCACAGAGCTATAATACCCAGCCCCCTGTTGCTACTGTTCACATTTCATAGGCACACAAATGTTCCAAAACTTGTCCGATATCATACAGATAGTGACATGGGCAAGATACAAACTAAAGCAGCTCTGGGTTGAGAACTACTGCTCCAGACTTTCATACTGTCTCTCTGCAGTCTTAGCAATGGATAATAACTACACAAGTATATAACTTTAGGAATCACTAACGGAGAAGCTACATTAAGCAAAGTAGCTTGGCTTGGATTCTGCTCTATTATAAAGTTCTTAGAGTAATCTCTTCATGTCCTCCTTCAGGTTCTTAGTTCCTATTCTTCCTTGAGCAGTTTATCCCAGGGTACTGTCATTCCCTAAGTCAATCATTTGTAAGTTGTGCCTTATATTTCTAGTAAAACTGTAGAGCCTCTTTCTCTTCTATCACATTCTTCTGTGGTTCCTTTACCCCCCCCCCATTTCTTGTTAAAACAAACTGATTTTTAGAAATCGTTAACTTGTACCTATGTAACTAAATGAAGTCGGTTTCAACTACATATGATTATATCATAGTGAAAAAATAATTTTGTTTTCTGTAATGAACATATGCTTTCTACTTAGTAGGTCAACCTGTCAAGATTTTATAATAGGCACATACAGGTGTTGCTAAACAAATTCCAAGTTAGACTATTCCATTAATCACTGTTGTTTTCAAATGGCCAAATGGTAGTGCTATTAATATAGTCTCCAAAAGAAATATAAAGACAGCAAACTGGGGAAAGTATTAGTTTTGGTTCCTTTAGGCAGTTTCTGGTGATATATTAAATCTTACATGCTCATTGGTTGAATGCATCTGTGTATTATATAAAGTTGCATAAGCAACATAGTCTTTGTTACAAGTGGTTCATGGTTCTGTCTGCATTATATTTAAGAAAACTTAATGAAAGGCTTAAGTAGGAATTATTAAAAAAAAAGTAGAAGAAGCTATAGTATATCTAGAAATAACTGAAGAGGTTTTATCTAAACCAGCACTCTGGAAACCTATGATAGAAATCTGTCTCTGGAACCCACATGGTGAAAGGAGAGAGCCAACTCCCTCCAGTTGCCCTCTGACCTCCACATGTACTGATAGCATGACATTGGTGGCATGTGGCTTCTTGGTCATTTTCAGGAAACGTTAGTTCAGTAAAGATCATATTTTGCCTTGGTGTCTGGTTTTCTGGTTCCTAAAGTCAAAGTTAAACATGTCAAGATTAATGATTAAGAAAAAAGCACACAGTAAGAGTGAAAATAAAGAACGCATTTTTAAAAATCTGTGTATGCAGTGTTATTAAAAGCCTATGAAACAATTTTCTTAGCTGTAGTTGTTTTCCCATTGAGTAACAGATTTATAAGTATTAGGAAATGATGACCACATTTGGAATTATAGCATTTGTCTTAGAATTCTTAATAATTTGTTTATGAATTTCCTTATTTGACAAATATTGGATATTACTGTTTGCACTGTAGCAGTCCCTGTAACTTAATAGCTTAGACTTCTCAATATGAAGGAATAAATTTATTTATGCATCCTCTTCCATTTTTGAATTGCATAGGAATTCAGGTATAAGATTCATGACTTAATATACTATCTTTAAACAGTGTCATGTGACCACTAGTTCACTGGCTCACTCTTCTGGGCTTGTTCTCTAGAATTGAACTTCAGGAGATTAACTGACAAAGCAGCTTGAATGGAAACGTCCTGTGTATTTAAATTCATTTATTTTCCTATAATTATGTAGGATTGTTCATTTTTGTTTTTAAACAGCTAAATTGTAGTTTTCTGTCATTTCCTATTGATGAGGGCTTTTATTTCAGCCAGGGTACAACAAATGCTCTTATAGAAATTGGGTGAAACATCTACACTGCCACGTATCGTTATTGTTAATACATTCCATATTTTCATGTTTAAGGAATAGGGCTCATGAATACATATTCTCTGTTCATTCTTTGGTGTTCTGCCTGGTCTATTAGACACACATTTAGAGACCTCAGATGTTAAGAGGTCTGCTTTCTCTAGGGATATGATGATAGACCCGAAGACAGAGTTTAATTGCATCATGATATGGAGTTCTGGCTCACTGATGAGGTGTACTGAATGATCTGTGTTTGGATGGTTGCCAAGATTTGCACCTAGGTCTAGACAAAAGTGGTTCTTCAGTGTATGTGTGTGTTAAAAGCTCACCTGCTGTCTGTCATGTTGATATTCTGATATCCTACTTAAATCTCTAGGAAGAGTTTTATGGAAGAAAACTGATTCTTGCCGACAGAGAAGAAGTGGAACAAGAAGCAGATAATATTTTTAAGGATGCCGATGTCAGCGATGTTGCATTCCTTGTGGTTGGTGATCCATTTGGGTAAGTGAAAATGGACATTGTGAGTTTTATTTATCAGCAATGATTATTCTGTTTGAAACTTTCCTCATTTGGTCCTGATAAGTTTATCTGAGTTCTATCTAAAATTTTGTATTTAAATTTTTTTGTTTGAATATTAATTGAAAATCCACATGATAAAGATGTCATTATAAGTATTACTACCTTAACAAGTGTCAACACTAACTCTTTTATGCTTTTTTTGTACAAGGTCATACAAGACATCAGATACCTTTAACTAGTGTGTCAATGAATAAGGCACTATGCTATCAAAAGTCAGGGTCAGGTCTGCCATTTGCTTTGATAATTGCAAGCATCTTTGGCTTCTTTTGTTCTAGGCACCTCCCCTTCTTTTTTAATAATCTAATATTTGGCAATAATGCTGTCACTTACTTGCCTTGAATTTATCATTTATCAAATCTCTGATTTCAATGTCTTATCCCCATTGGGAACACTGCTCTTCCTCATTACCAAGAAGATGGGTTTCCACTTGTCTAGTCAAGCATCATCAATCTCTAGTGTCAAGCCAAACACAAGAGTTCTTTGTCTACAGCTGGTGACCCAAGATTTATGTCACAGATTTGAGGAACATAAGGACAATTAAATCACCCATCAAGGATATTTCTCAAAGCAATGGAGTTACATGTGTATGTGTCTGTCATAAAGAAAATAATTTATGTTAGCATGCAGGGCCAGAGAGTCTGTATCATTATTATATTTGATTGCAAAATTATATTGGGTAATCACTCAGTATAAAATACTTAAATTGGTTTAGCTCCTGCCTGACATTGTTTTCTGTAAAATTAAGGCTTCCTCAGATTTCATGGTACCTTTGTTTTTCTTCTTAGCAATAGGATAGGAAAATGAAATAGGAAAATAAAAAAGATCTTACCAGCAAATGTCTCCCTTTATATAGAATTTTCTCACTAGCACACTGACTCCATCTAAAACGTGTGTCTTCTATAGGCAAACTCCCACCCAGACCTCCCAATATGGTGGCACTTCAGTTCTTACAGTCACCTGGTGAGCAGTCTTTGGCACTGACAGATGTTATACAATACAATTGCTGCTCAAAATGAGGCTTCTAGATTGGTACAAGTCCACAGACTTTTGCTAGTCCAGATGAAATAAGTAAAGAAATTGAGAGCAAGCATTAGAAACTAGTATAGCCATTTAAAAAGTCAAATTTGTTAACTAGTGAATATAATTTAAATAATGGAGTTTACTCCTTATATTGTCTTATTTCATATTTTATTTTCAAATAGTTAATTTTTATATTTTAGAAAACTTACGAGTTTATAATAAAAAAAAGTTTTCACCATATTTTGCCGGGCGGTGGTGGCGCACGCCTTTAATCCCAGCACTCGGGAGGCAGAGGCAGGCGGATCTCTGTGAGTTTGAGGCCAGTTGGTCTAGGACAGCCTCCAAAACAATACAGAGAAACCCTGTCTCGAAAAAAAAAAACCAAAAAAAAAAAGTTTTCACCATATTTTGAGGAATAGTATAATTGGCTATTTATTTATTGGCCAGTTTTTTCCTTTCCTTTTTAATTTTTACTTTTAATACCATTATTTTAACTAGGTTAATTTATTCTATCTCCTTTACCTGGCCTGTATACAGATTATATAGACTTTTAACTCATTACCCATGTTATGGCCAAGTTTGTAAACCACAACAATTTAGTAGCCTCAGCTGAGAACTTTAGAAGCCCCATTGATAGCCAGATATTTAAAACCTGCCAACCTTCAAGTCTGTGTCTTGCCATTCTTGTATTGAGAACACACTCATACCAATCAACTCATTCCATCATTGTTTTCAACTTCCACACTTTAGTTCAAGCTCCCTCTCCACCTTTATCTGTCGGAGGCATCCACATCTGTCAACTCACACCTCTCCATGCTGTTGTCTTTTGTCGCTCCAGTCTGAAGATGTAGCTCCACTTGACAGGTGGAGATTATTGTTGATGCTTGTTTCAGTTAGCTTATGGAGCGGCGATTGGTGTTCGGCTTATGGAACTGTGACTGCTGTATCAGTTAGCTTACGGAGCTGTGATTGCCATGTCAGTTATTTTATGGAGCTGGGATTGAATTCCCTGAGCGGACGAGTTATGAGAGGAATGATTTAGTATAGTTACTGGTTTCAGGGGTTCAGATGGGTTGCTTGACCCCATGCACTACCATCACGGCAGAGGTAGCTTGTGATGGAGGAGATTCTTCATCCATGCCAGACAGGAAGCTGAAAGAGAAAGAGACAGATGCAGGAAGGGGCCAGAGACAAGATGCCCCCAAGAACCTATCCCTAGCGATCTGCCTTCAGGTAGGTCCTACCTCCTGAAGCGTTCAGACCGTCTCAGACAGCACCATCTGGGTAACAAGACACAGTATATGAGTCTTGGTGGGGGTGGGGGGAAGGGAGTACTTGATACTTAGATCCTCACTGTGTTAACTTTCACAGAGTTCCTAACAACATTTAAAATAACTGTGTCTAGCCGGGCGGTGGTGGCACACGCCTTTAATCCCAGCACTCGGGAGGCAGAGGCAGGCGGATCTCTGAGTTCGAGGCTGGGCTGGACCGACAGCCTCGAAAACAATACAGAGAAACCCTGTCTCGTAAAAACCAAATATAAAATAAAATAAAATAACTGTGTCTTTACTATTCTTGTGGATACGTACAGTGTCCTTCATGTCTCTACTATTCCTGTGGATATGTATAGTGTCTTTAACTCTTTAATTTCATTCATAATACTTGGCACACAGTTGCTGCTAATTAAATATTAATTGAAGAACTTTGCGATAGTTTACCTAAAATCAGCAAAGGAAGACAAGTCTTTTTTTTTTTACCCCCGAGACAGGGTTTCTCTGTATTGTTTTGGAGGCTGTCCTGGAACTCGCTCTGTAGACCAGGCTGGCCTCGAACTCACAGAGATCCTCCTGCCTCTGCCTCCCGAGTGCTGGGATTAAAGGCATGTGCCACACAATGCCCGGCTCGACAAGTCTGTTTTGAACTGGCAGTTATCTCTTCACTCAGTACCTTTCATACGTTTCACAGAAAAAAAAAAATAAAGTTTGTGAAGTCTGTGAAGTGTGGAGAGAGGCAGAGGGAGACTTACTTACGTAAAGGCACATGGAAGAGCCATGTTTTGAAGTTTATACTTAAGTGACTGAAATGGGTTAGCAGGCAGATCATTCCAAGTAGAGCAGACAGAAAGAGCATGATGGGTATGAGAAGGAGTTATAAAGGGAGTCAGGAGCCATCCATCTTTAAGGCTTGGAGGGACAGGGAATCCTATTTGAAGTACAGTGGCAAACTTGGAGGGTTTTTAAGCAAAAAAAATCACAATTCTTCCCGATATAAAAACTGCTTGACTTGCTTGGTGTGAGTGGACTTTAGACAGGTGTTTCTGATGGCAGAAAGGAAAGAATGGTGTAGATAATCTTAGAAGGAAGATAGAGAATGGATGTGGTAGACATGAAAAGAGGAAGGAACTCTTGACTTATGGACTGGTTCTAGAATCAGGAGACTGGATCATTCTGGCTGTGGAGTCATTGGTATGTGGGTGGTATTTAAAGCCAGAGGAATGGATAGCATCACCCCAGGAGAGAGACAGCCTAGGAACAAATAAAGCCCTAGAAAAGAGGAGAGGGGAACGCAAGAGGATGTCGTTACGGAAGGCGGAAAGACTCTCAAGTGTGAGTAGGTAATTGGTGTTCATGAGTGTTGAATCTGGAGAAGAGATGGTAGGACGGGCAGTGGAGAGGAGCCGGGAACTCCGTGTACAGAAAACAATGCAGAGAGAGTGACTTGATGCAGTTGGCCTCCCTGCTAAACTTCTGTGACTTTCTGCCTTCGTTCTTTAGTCTCTGCGTTCTCCCGGCTGCTTTTGTGACTGCTCTCCTGGCACAGAGTCCTACAGTGGTACATTTCTTACAAGTGGTTGCAGTATTACCCCATGAACTTGCTCAGCTATATAGGCTTTGTTTGCGTTATTTTGGTTTGGATTGACACAATCTCCTGTAATATAAGCTAGCATTGAAATCTCAGTGTTCTAAACTAGACTTGACTTCCTAGTCCTCCTGCCTCGACCTCCCAGGTGATACCTATTTGCTAATTGTAGATTTGTTGGGCCTGCTTTACTGGTTTTCTCCCCCTTTGAAACTGTAATGATAATTAATTTGCACTATCTCAGTGCTTGACTGTCACCAGCCTTGTGCTAGATTCAAGTTTAAGTGCTGCAGCTGTCTGATTACTGCTGGATTCCTGCTGGGATGCGGTTGGAAATCTAATTAATTAAATAATTTTGTTTGTTTCTGAGGTCTTATTTTTGTTTTTAAAGTGAGGTCTCATTACATTGCCCAGACTGGCCTTGAATTCCTAGGTTCATGTGATCCTCCTGCCTCGGCTTTCTAAGTCACAGACTGAGACTGCTGGCACATAACTAGACTCAAATTTTTTCTCACTAGTCAGGCCATAAAGATGAAGAAGTTGAATGAGTTGATGAATCCAGGGAAAACAGAAAATGACAAAAAGTCTCCTGTTTAATTTTAAGTATCTTCCTACTTGAATAAAATATAGATTTGACTGGTGAAATGGGTTAGGTGGTAAGATGTTTTCTGTGTAAGCCTGGTGCCCGGAGTCTGAGCCCCAGGATCCACACAGAGTGGGAGTAGAGAACTCACTCCACTGTTTTCCTACCTCCACATTTATGCATGATATGTGTTCATGCATGTGCATTCGTGCAAAATATTATGCACACAAAACTTAATGATAAAAGTTTAAAACTATGAAAAGAAGTTAAGATGTACAGTCTTGAATTCTTTTTTTCCAGTAATTTTTCAACTGTGGTAAAATATACGTAACATAAAATTCAGTTTAATATACACAGATCACTGAATTTAAGAACATACATAGTATTGTACCCCCATTATCATTATTCATCACTGCCCTCCATAGTTTTACATCCTTCATGGAGATAATTAAAAATCACAAACTCCCTACTTCCCTTTTATCTGGTTTATTGAAAGGGAAGTAGAAGTTAACCACAGGGAGGTTGTACTGGTTCTAAATGGTATAGCATCAGTTCCCTGGCTTAGCCATACGGCAGATGAGAGTATCAGGCAACCTGTCCCTTACTGTCTATAGAAGGAGTAGCATTAAGGACTTTCTAATAGTGCTTCTGTTTCATTATTCATTTTGTGTTTTTAACATACATTGTAACTAAATAAACATATACTGAATCTGTAATTTTTATTTTCATGCCATGTACTTTTTCCAAAAAAAGTACATACAGATGTACCTTTATTTACTTGTCTTTTTTGTGTCATTCCTTGCAATGTCTTTGACCAGCATTTGGCACCAAATAACTCTCCAATACATGCCATCAGTATCATTAGTCTGTTCTATTCTCCAATACAAATGCAACTGTTGGTTTCTCTAACATGTATAAAGCTTGTTATACAGATGTGTCCTGACATACAGTTCCTTGTCTCTTCTTCTCCATGGTTTGCACTGTCTCTTTGTGATAGATTATCTCAAATAAGGTTTTAAGATCTAAGTAAAGATCTGTAGGTACAGACATTTTCTAGCATATAAAGCAGCTTCCAAATGGGTTTTCAACTTCCAATGCTTCTAATAGCTCTTGAAGGTATGATTTCACTGTGCGTCTTGAAGCAGCAAACTTCCAGGCTCCAGTCACCCCTGCTCCCCCTGTCATGGCAGCACTGCTACGGTTGCCTTCATGTTCTTCCAGCAATTAAACCATTTTGCATCTTTTCTCTTGAAATTGCCTTTAAAAGAATTCCAGATAACAAGTGTGCTATTAAAGCAAAAATTCTTCACTATTTCTGATTAGGTAACTCCGTTCCTGCATTTGGAAATAGTAAACTTATGTGTATGTTGTTTGGTCTGGTTATTTCAAATGAGTTTGTGATGATAATAAAATTTTAAGCCTGGTTTTCTTTTCATCTGTTTAAGTAACTCATCCATAAAGCTGTTTAAATTTAAAAAATAGCACCCTAATTAAATAACTAATTTACTTTTCCTTGAAGTTAAATGTTAGGTAGGAAGATTCTGTTCAAGGTAGTATTAAAAACATTCCTTCCATCTACCATTCTTGTTATTTTTTTAAACACTTACTCTAAATCAAATTGCTGATAATTTTTCATACTCCTTATATTTTCTGTGTGTGATTAAAAACAGGCTTCCCTAGTGGGCATGTTTTAATCTGTAGCTGGCTGCCTCATGGGGTGTAAGCCCTTGATCTTCCTACTTGGTATGCATTGACCAGTTGACAGATTCTGCTTATTGTAAGGAGTTTCTCAAACATGCTAATGTTGCTTTCCCCAGTAGGGCTTAGCATTTTTATCAAGATGAAAAGAACCTTTAGTAATGCCATTCTAAATTGATGTGAGATTACATGTCATAGTGTTCAATTTATATTTACATATATTCTTTTCTTCCCCAGCCTACCTAGTTATTATCACATTTTCAGAAGAGGGAAGTTAATAGTCAGAACCTGCAAAGGATACACACACACACACACACACACACACACACACACACACACATATCACTAAGTATATACAGAAGTAGCTGGACTGAAAGCAGCTATAAATAGAAAGACTGTACACAGATGTAAACTCCAAATAGAATTCTTTCAGGCAGAATTTTAATAGATTGAAGGGCCAACAGGCTATGTCCTATTTCATCTTCAGATTTAGACTATAAAAACAAATCCAAATAGGGCAGAAGTAAAGAATTTGGTTGTACCACTGAACTGTAAAGGAGAAAATTCATCAAAGTGCCCCCCACGTATTGTGGAAACTAGTCTTAATGCGCAAAACTGGATATAAGGTTAATTGTTACCAGAGCCTGGGAATAGTGCTGGGGAAGGAGCTAAGTTAGGTGGTTACTGGGTCCAGGAGAAGGCTGAAACAGGAGTAATTCTAATGATTATAACATAGGCACTGTGGTTGGTGGCAGCTGAGTATTTTGCAGTAAATAGGAAGGAGAGAAGACTCTTGGATATTTGGAACACAAGGAAATGACGAATGTCTGAGGTGCTAAGTCTTTTTAATCATACTCATGTATAGATGTACATATTGAAATGCCTATTGTATTCATTAATAACGGCTAAATTTTCTTAAAACTCATCTAAAGAAACCCTGAGACAAGAATGAAATTGCTGAGTTTACAAACTACAGATGTCTTTAGCAGCTATCAGGACACAGCCCGCTCCTTTCTTCAGTCAGTGTCAGTGTTGTAGTTGGAGTGACATCTTGTGAGGGATGTGGGTAGACGTACACTGCATCCCTAAAAAGCCCAAATAAAAGACCTCTGCAGGTGCCTAGTAGGATTTGAGGAAGAACTGTTGACTCTTTGATGTGAATTCATGAGCTAGAAGATTAGTGCCATTCACTTAACTGAACCTGTTTTCTCACTACAGGGCTACAACACACAGCGATCTTATTCTGAGAGCAACAAAGTTGGGAATCCCTTATCAAGTTATTCACAATGCCTCCATAATGAATGCTGTAGGCTGCTGTGGTTTACAGGTAATGTTCTATTTTCCTGTAAGCTACAAGTATTCATACAGGAGCCATAAAACTCTTGAAATATATGCTGGTTTGGCTTTTTTTACTGCTTTCCTATAATTTATGTTTTTCTTTCTTGTAACCTTTTCTTTCAACAGGCCATGTACATTTAGTTACAGATGATTTTAACTTTTTATTATCTCATACATACATACATAAAAAAGGAAAGAATAAGCAAATTACACTAAGTATTCCTAAATGGCCTTTTATTTTTTCAGTGACTTCATCAGTGCGGTTGAGCCTGAGTTTCCCACACAGCATCCCTTTCTCTTTCACAGAGAGTGTGTGATGCTGTGTTTCTTAAATGAATTCAGAGCTGTAAGCCAGTGATGAAGGCAGTAAGGCCATGGTACAAGTGCTGGTGTATAAAGTCCATTACTCTTACCTCCAACAATTGTGGCTCAGAGAGCTTGAAAGAGTGCTCTATAGAAGTTTCTAAGATGTTCTCTTAAGCTATTGGAACCCACTGTCCAAGTGTGATATATGTTATGATCTTGACACTCGCATAGTTCTTGGCAGCTGTGATCCCTGCATGGGCAACAGTGCTTTTTCAGACACTGCTTGTGAAGACATATTCCAAGTCTCTATATCTTAATAGGAAAAAGAGATGCACCTTAGAATCCATGCAATAAGACCTTCCCTGGTCTACCTTGCTGAAATCCATCACTTACGGATAGATTTTTTTAAAAGATACATTTGGTACCATGAGCCAGTTCAGTAAGTGTAAAAGAGCTTGCCTTCAAGTTTCACAGCCTGCGTTTGCACTCTGGAAGCCACATAGTGCAAGGACAGCTGGCTCCTGCAAGTTGTCATCTGACCTCCTTGTGCATGCTGTGTCATGCCCCCTCTCAAATAGATTAACTTTTAAAAAATAAGATATGGTAAAGCCAGCCCTTTGTTACTTAGGAAGAATAGCTTAGTTTCATCGACTAATATTGGCCATCCAGTATGAATTTTAGTTTGTTTGTGAAGAGTCAGACAGAAGTGTACATGGTCATTTTGCAGGACTTTTCCCTTACTCTTAGTTATTATTTTGCATTGCATTAGGTGTTTGCATCCCTTTTGTCTAAGATGTATACTTTAAAACAACTCTTAGAATAGCCAGTGTAGCGCAGGTGCTATGTAACTAGCTGTGTTGTATTGTTTAGGGATGGACAAGAAAAAGTAGTACATATTAATAACAGAAACAGTCCCCCCAAGGCCCCAAATACTTTTGCTCCATGTTTAGTGACATTCATTGAATTAGAAGCATAGATATGGCGGGTCCACTATGAATACATGGCATATTTTTAATTAAATGCATACATATCATGTATAATGCAAGCTCTTCAGTTGAATTCCTTTCCTTTTTGGACTTTTTCTCTTTACTATTTTATTTGGACTCCATTTGTGGAAGATACTGTAACCCGAACAACTGACTATCAAGACTGTTCATCAGACCTACCTCAAGGGCGTGTGAGTGCTGAGTCTTGCCAGGAAACTTTCTGAGAATAGTAGCTTTGGAATGGGGCGTGAGAATCCACATCTGTCTGTCTGTCATCTCTCTGTCCTATCCTATCTGTTTTTAAGTCAAAATATATCATCTCCCTTCTTTTTCTCTCCAACCCCATCATATACCCCTCATTTTTAGTGTGTATGTGTGTGGGGGCAGTGAGTTCACGTGGATGCCACATAAGCAAGAAGGTATTGAATCCCCTGGAACTGTGAATTGCACTTGTGAACTGCCTGACCGGATGCTGGGAATTGAACTTACTTCCTCTGGAAGAGCAATACACACTTAACTCTGGAGCCATCTCTTGAACTTCAAGAGGATTTACATTTTTACAAGCAGTCGGTGCTGTAGCAGCTGTAGGTACGAGGTCATGCCTTCAGAACTATCAACACAAGCAAGTAATAGTCTTAGAAAATGAACATACTTCATTGTCTCCTTTAGCTTGTCAGGACTGAAAGAGCAGATGTTTATTACCAGAGATACCCCTGGCAGATGGAGGATGTTAGTAGGCTCCGCCTCATGTTCTCTTACCTAAATTTTAAAGGGAAGTAGGCTTCCCTTTTGGAAGGTGTCCTGTCTTCTCAGAATGCTTTGCCATGATTTTAGAAACAGGCATCAAAATGTTGAAACAGGCCTGCTTTAAGTGCTGTGGAAGACCTGGGCAAAACATGCCTTCTCTCATCTTTGTCTTCAAGCTTAGCTGCTGCAGATGTCTAAGAGTAGGTGGGCACTGTATTTTACTCTCGGTGTGTCACCCCCATGTTCTCTAAAGAGCTTGCAAGGACAGTTCAGAATTAAGCACTCAGTAGTCTCCTTAACTTGGTAGTTTATTGATAGCCAATTCTTGTGGATTGGTGTTATTGATGGCAAGTAGCTGTAAAACTTAACACTTCTACGCATGCATACAAACACATAACCTGCCATGCACAGTCTAATAGAGGTGGGCCATATCATTCTGTACCGGAAGTCTCATCCTTACTGAAAATTTCCACTTGAAACATAGTTTACTAGACTAGAGGCTTGCAAGTTAAATGTCTTTAAGACAAACATGCTTCATTCATTCAATAAATACTTTATATCTACTTGATGTTTGCTTGGTAACTTTGGATGCAGTCATAACTTTTCTTCAAGGAGCTTGTGGATAATTGTATACTTTTCTCATCCTTATGAAACACTTCCACTTTCTCTGACTGTTGCTTTAATGACCCTGAGTGTTGCCATGTCTTGTTGTTGTTGTTTTAATGGATTTTCAGGACAGGGTTACTCTGTGTAACAGTCCTAGCTGTCCTGGAACTCGCTCTGTAGACCAGGCTGGCCTCAAACTCACAGAGATCTGCCTGCCTCTGCCTCCGAGTGCCGGGATTAAAGATGTGCTCCACCAACACCTGGCTCTAATTTTTATTTATTTTTATTGTCCTTCAATGTCTTAAATTTTCTTTTTTAAGTTTGTGTGTGTTGGGAGGGGTGTGTGTATGCCACAGCAAATGCATGTAGGACATAGGGCAGCTTATACAGTAGGTTCTCTCCTTTTACCATGTGCTTCTCAGGGTACAAAGTCCAGCCACTAGGCTTGGAGGCAGCTGTCCTTGCCCTCTGAGCCATATTGCTGGCCCTTGTTTTACTTTTCTAAGGCATGGCCTAATTGCATAGTCCAGGCTGGCTTTGAACTTGCGTCTCTCTACTTGAGTCTCCCAAGTGCTGGCGTCACATGTACCGTCACATCTACCTCTACCCATTATTTTGGAGCACTGATTCATCATCCTCCCCATTCAGTAGTTTCTTTCTAAACTGTGGGCCTCCCTGTGCCATTCTTCCACTTAAACTCGGTAATGCCTCTCGTATACAGAATGTTTGTGTTCAGATTTTTACTATTAGTTCTGTAGTTTACTCATCTTTATGCCTTCTGTTGTATTTACCACAGCATCATAAAAATAATCTGTTTGCAATAGATACTTTGAGTTAAATTGCTTAGTTCTCTTCCCCCTTCTAAATTGGATATTGTCTTTGAAGTAATATGCTTTAAAACATAATTCATTTTTATTTATTTCATAAGTGGATTCCCAATTATATGTGAGAACATAGGTTTTTGTTTGTTTGTTTTTTGAGACAGGGTTTCTCTGTGTAGCCCTGGCTGTCTTGCAACTCACTCTGTAGACCAGGCTGGCCTAGAGCTCACAGAGATCTGCCTGCCTCTTCCTCCCAAGTGCTGCAATTAAGGGCCTGTGCCACCACTGCCCGACTAGAATCAAGTTTTACAGAGTACCTGTACTGGGCTGACAAGATGGCTCCAGGATAAAAGGGCTTGCTATGAGTCCTCATGACCTCAGTTCAATGCCCTGAATCTCTATATAGAAAGAACCAACTTCTACAGGTTGTCTTTTGCATGTGTGCATGTGTCTATATAGACACTAAGTACATGGATAAATGTAAAAATGGTGTTTGTACTTATGAAAGGAAGGAAATGTTGGTGGCAGTGAGATGACTTAGGAGATTGGTGGGGTCACTCAGACAAGTGGTGTCAGGGCCTCAAAGCAAGCAGTAGGGGCATAATTGAGTGGCTAGTTTCTGAGTTCTGCAGCTGGAGTTGATAGGAATAGGTGCTTGGTAGGATGTCAGAAATGTGAGGTGCGGAGGCATATGCTTGCTCTTTCTCATAATGTAGTTCTTCCCTCCCATCCTTTCCAAGCTCACTCCTGCACTTTCATCCTTTCTATCTCTAGTTCCAGCTTGTAGTTTTGTCTTTCAGAAGACACTTCCGGGTGTTTTTTCTCTGAGTGTAGAAAGGGCTGAACTCTCAGAATAGGTGGGGTCCATAGGTTGTATTGACAAGAACTATTTAATGCCTGTGTGTCTCTCTCATGCATCTTCCTCCTCTGCCTCAATCTTTAGTGCCTTGCAAAATGGCTTGGTGGGTGGTGTTTCAGCTGAAGATTTTTGTTTTTCTTATTTTTCTTTAATAAAACATGGTCCAGTACCAAGTTAGATGGGCTGTTTTCTCTCTAAATTATTCCAGATGAAAGCTGAACAGATCTGTGTTTCCCCTAAGATTTCTGAGAAAACAGCTGCTTTTGTAGTTTTCAAACTTAGGTTTGAAGCACTAACAATGTCAGATTTGAATAATATTGTCGGGAAGAATGGTCGTAGCTCACAGGCTAGAGTTGTAAGACAGCCCAGTGTTTAGGCTTCTGCAACCTCAGTTCTTGTCACTGAGATTTGCTGGTTTCTTTTTGCAATTTACTGGTGATGAAGTCCTTTGGTTGTGAAATGCAGAGAGCTGGTCCTTCTGTTCTTTGAGATACTGACATCTCAGTGGTGACACTGTTTGCATAATGTTTCAGCATACATTGCAGAAGCTTGCACCCTTGCCACAGGAGAGGCTGTAGTTATAAATCAGGGTCCTAGAGGGCAGTGCCTGTGTGAGGTTTCTTTAGTCTCCCAATTGGGCAGTTCAGTCTTTCACACAGAACATTTCTGTTAGCTTAGATGTGACTAGCATCTCAATTCTCTTTTTAAGGCTTCATCACTCTATTTGAATGAAGAACTTCCTTGCTTCTATGATTTTTTATTTACATGTTTCTTAAAATAATCAGACTCTTACATACTTATGCATAAATGGAAATAATAGTTTTCCGTGAAGGTTTTCATGGAATAATGTGTGTTTCAAGTTTGATGGGAAGTCACAAACCCCATTTAAAATGTATAGTTGAACTTATCCATTTTAAATGTAGTTTTGCATATTTGGTTCTTCTTGGCTGTAGCTAATAAAGAGAGCAGTTGGATCCTGTCAGGATGCAGCAGTTTCGACATTTTCATCTAATTGTCATGCACATCATTGCGTCATATATTGGGCCCTCACAGTGTATGAGGCACGACTAGGTACTCAGTATGCCCTTGGTCGTTTGTTCAGTCCTTAAAGCTGCTCCCTCCTTACACTCACTGTGCAGGATGTGCTTGCAGGTCAGAGGATATTTGCCTTGTCCATGACCAGGCAGCTAACCAGAACCACTGCTGTGAGACCAGAGCCTTTGTCAGCTCTGTGAGCTCTCAGCTGTTTCAGCAGGGCCAGAGGCCCATTTGCTTATCACTTTAACCCTGTGCGCAGAATAATGCCTGGCACAGAGGTGATTGACATTCATTATTTGGTAGTAAATTTGCTTCTCATAGGACAGCAACTATAACAACTCCTCTGTAGAGTTAGGGCCTCTCCCTTGAAGTTCATCCTGGGGAATGTAGTCTAAGAATCCTATCCTAGAACTCCAACTGTATTTTTGACAGAGAAATCTTGTTACACATAGCAGGAAGATACATGACTGGATACTTGGAGCAACGCGGTTTTTGTACACTGTCTTGTGAACAGGTTGCAAAACAGTAGTTTCTCTTTGGGGATGCTTTGTTCCGGTACCTTTCAAATGGGCTTGGAGGGTAAAGCTCCTTGACAGGTGAATTGGAGTCTAGTGTTTTAGGGTTGTGATGAACCATCCTTTTAGGTGAATTGGAGTCTAGCATTGTAGGGTGTTGATGACCCATCCTTTTAGGGCTCAGAGTTGCTGTGACTGTTCAGGGTTTTAAGACCTGAGTATACAAAGCCCGAGAAGTATTAGCTGCTCTAGAGAAGTAAGGAGGAATGTTCCCCCCCATTCCCCACCTTTTCTTGTTTCCTTCCTGTCTGCTTCCTGGCACCTTTTGTCACAGCTTCTGAAACGGGAGAGAGGAGGACAAAAGCGTCACTGTAGGAAACAGCATCCCCGGTGCCCACTTGAGACCTGTCTCTTTGTTTTCAAAGAAAGTAAAATGACTTTCTAATCTGTGATATGTTACTAGATGTGGCTTTTCGGTGTCTATATATTCCTGATTCCTTACAAGTTGTATCAAACTGTTTAACTTGAAGAATTAAATCATTCTATAACATTAGCATTGTGTTTTACTATAGTATGTTTTGGGAAACATATCTTTTGTACAGTACCTTTACAAAAACTATTATAATATTAGCATGTAACTTCAGCATGTGAATAATTTTTACATGTCACTTGATCCCCACAGTTGGGGACAGGATAAGAGGGTATTGACACTTTTCCTGCACAGCTAGCAGGTTACAGAGTCAACCTCCAAAACTCCACTGATCCTTACATAAGCTGTAGAACAGGGCTGCGGTAGACTAGTACAGCAAGGTCAGTCTAAGAGTCACACTTCTTCCTTGTGATAGGGAGATGAGGTGGACCACCTGGGTGAGACGGAGATTCGGGGAAAAGTTCTTATTGGCTCATTTTTGACACGGAGGACAGAGCTAGTCTTCTTAAATTGGAAGGGTATATATAGATTATGGTCAGTAGCAAGAGGGAGTACACTGTTTGTGTATTTTGTTGAGCTAAGATGATGAAAAAGAACATTGTCGCAGACCTAAGTTTGTGTATTTATTTATTTTTAGCCATGTGACCTAGGTAAGTCTACTAATCTTTCTAAGGCTTGGTAGTCTTATCAGTGAAGCAGAATATTAAACTTTTGACACCTGTTAAGAGTGCTGAAAACTTTTTATTCCTGTTTTTTTCTTAAGGTTGATTTTTTTTTAAAGTTTCTAATTGTGTCTGTGGGAGTGGTATGTTCATGTGAGTCAGGTGCCATGGAGAGCCAAGGGGTCAGATCTTCCTGGAGCGGGAGTCAGAGGTAGTATGAGCTGCACAGACTTGGGTCCCTATAGGTGTAGACCAGCTCTTAACCACTGAGCCTTCTCTCGGCTTGGGCCTTGTATTGGGCCCTATTGTAGGACTCTTGACCTATGAAATAATAGTGATTGTTGTACCATTAAATAATGTCTTGTTTTTCTAGTTGTACAAGTTTGGAGAAACTGTTTCTATTGTGTTTTGGACGGACACGTGGCGACCAGAAAGCTTCTTTGACAAAGTGAAGAAGAACAGACAGAATGGCATGCACACCTTGTGTTTACTTGGTAAGCAGCCCGAAGCTCCCTTTTTCCCACACGGTGGGATTGTCACACTTCTCTTGTTTGCATTTTGTGATAGAATTAAAACTGCTGTGGGAATAACTAGGTAGAGAAAGAGACTAAACAAAACAAAACAGACACAGGCTAGCCACTGTTTGCACATAGCTCTCTTTCCCCTACTCAGCTTCAAATACCAGGAAAATCCTGTGCTTATGCTGGGACTTGCTTTTTCCCTCTTAGAACCTGTAGATCTTTTCCAAGATTCAGTATTGCCCATCATTATTACAGTTCAGCAGACATGGAGTGAGCATTTATTATTGTCACCAACCATTCTGCATCTTCTAGGATATTGTCTGTCAAAATCATAAAATGCTACTTCTGAAATATCCTCCAAAGATCATTTTGTTAAAATCTGTTTTGCAGATGATGTTGAATATTGAGTAATTTCCCAGTAGCATTCACTTAATTGTTAACAGAATAAAATACAAATGACCCATTATTCCTAGCCTCTTCATTGTGCTAGCCTGACCAAACTTTGTTTCCTGTTTAACATACAAAGGGCTAGGATGCTTTGTGCAACAAGATAATAGTACTGAGTTTCAGATGGACATGGGCTTTGCCTTCCAGCAAAGACCTGGAGATTTAACAAGTCACATGTCTAATAGCCTCTTCTAACCTTATATGTTATAGAAAGGAATACTGGAATCAAATTTTCACTGTCCCCTTGATGACCAGAACACAGCTAACATCTTATGAAATGACACTTAGAGTTGGAACCAGAAGACAGAATACCAGTGTCTCTGCTTACCAACTAGAAAACACTGAGGAGCAACTCTCAGCCTTTGTCTTCATACTATCACCCTGCCTCATGGGGTTTTGGAGAGTAGTGCTTCTCAAACTAGTTATGGTGATTTTTTTCTTATTATTTTGTATGTGTTTGTGTTTATGCATATGCAAGTACGTGCCAGAGCATATATGTAGAAGTCAGAGTAAAACTGTGGGAATTGGTTCTCTCTTTACACTGTGAGATCCTGTGGAACAAATTCAAGTCATCCATGTAAGCAGCAAGTGTGTTTACTTGCTTAGCCATTTCACCAACCCCCACATAAAAGGCTGATATTTTTGGTAGTTTTTGTTGTGGTGGTGGTTGGATGAGAATGGACTCATGTATTTGAATGCTTAGTTACTGGAGTAAAACTTTTGAAAGGATTATAAGGGTTAGGAAGTGTGGCCTTGTTGGTGTAGGCCTGTCCTTACTGGAGGAAGTATGTCACTGGGGGTGGGCTTTGAGGGTTCAAAAGACCATGCTAGAGCCAGTGTCTCTTCTTCCTGCTGCCTGTGGAACACGATGTAGAACTTTCAGCTACTCTCCAGCATTGTGTGCTTGCATGCCTGCCATGCTCACCACTATGATGTAATGGATTAAGCCTTGAAACTAAGCAAGCCCCAATTAAATGCTTCCTTTTATAAGTTTGTCATGGTGTTTCTTCACAGCAATAGAGCAATGACTAAGACAGTTGTTGTCTGTCTTATTTTATTATTTATTTATGTGTGAAGTGTATGGTATTAGGCTTCTAAATTCTCAAACCATAGATTGCATTTAAATTAGTATGTAGTTGTTGAATGCCAACTATGGGTCAGTCCCTTTAGGGATTAAGGACCAAAAAGCCTGGTAGTAAACTGCAGACAATTTATACTTTATTTAGAGACATGATTATGTGATATAGTCAGAAGTTAGTAAAAGAACATTAGTTACATAGATACTTCTAAATGAAATAATTGGAGCTTATTGCTTAAACTTAGTTCTAGATGGTATGGAGTATGTTGTAGGAAAGCCATGTCCACATGTTTTATAGGCATGTTTTACAGCAGACATGTTTTACAGTAGATATGTTGCATTTTACAAATTCGAAGTGAATGAATTAATGCAAGAGTTACCTTAAGTATTCAAGACATTACTTAAAGTAAAACATGACTTCTATTACTAATTATATTAGAGGCTATAGTTTTACTAACATTCATTTTTGTATGTGGCAGACAAGTAGAACTATTAAACGATTTCAAATTTGAGAAATACCTAAATATTAAGTGCCATAGACATTGAAAGCCAGATGTAAGATTAATCATTGTTATAATTTCTGAGTAAAATTTTTAGTATTTGTCAATAAGAGAAGCTTTTACTATCACTTTATAAAGTTATAGAAGTCTGTCAGAGACTCTTCAGTTGTACCATATTTATTTTTACAAAAACAAACTTTGGCTGAACCATTCATTTTGCCTGTAAAACAGGAAGCAGCTGTTACCCTTGTGTGAAGTTCCTGTAAGGACACAACCAGTCTGACTTTTCACTGTTTCCCAAGGAGTTCAGCTAAGCATCTGTGGCAGTGAAATGGGAAGGACCAAGTCTTTGCCATGGTGCAGTGTGAGACTTCAGGAGCAACAGACATCATATGCCTGTCTTTGCCATGGTGCAGTGTCCGACTTCGGGAGCACAGACATCGAATGCCTGTCTTTCTTTGTCATTGTGTGCTGTGAGACTTCGGGAGCACAGACATCGATCGTATGCCGCTCCCTGAAGTGCCCAGCATCTGGCAAAGAGCTCTGAAACCCTGAATAAATAGAGTATTTATTCAATAGTATAGTGTGTCTTACCATTGTAAGAAAGCAAACACTTCTTTTCAAAATATGATGAGAATCTTTTTTTGGGCAGTGGTAGTGCACGCCTTTAATCCCAGCACTCAAGAGGCAAAGGCAGGCAGATATCTGTGTTCAAGGCCAGCCTGGTCTACAGAGCCAGTTCAGGATGGTCAGGACTACACAGAGAGAAGCCCTGTCTCGAAAAACAAAAATAAATAATAAGATTTTTTTAAACTTAGGTTTTATCCTTTGAACCTTTTATAGTCTGATGCCTGAAAAAGAAATAAGTGTAGGCGTGCAAGCAGACATTTTAGATGCATCTATGCAATTACTGGGCAGAAGAACTAAAGCGATTCTGATTAGTTAAGTAGTGCACATGCCAACATGATCTAATGCTTTCCCTTATCATCTTTTCCAACAGGAAACTAGATCCCTGCAGAGGAATGTCAGGGCCAAACTCCATTTGCTTTCTAGCATGGGGCCTTTCCACAGCCACAGGCTTCCGGTCCTCCCTAACCCCGTAGGAAAGTAGTCACACACAATTGTGAGCAGAGACACCACAAACTCAGATCAGCATTTAGGGCTCTGGGAAGATGTCCAGAAGCATCCGTGACCCTCAGTGGAAGCTGAAGGGTTGGGGTAAAATGACTTGACTGACAGAGCTGTGCTTTACTCCCTACAGACATCAAAGTGAAGGAGCAGTCTCTGGAGAACCTCATCAGGTGCGTCCATGCCGAGGGCGAAACTCCTATTCCAATTCCATGACAAAGGCCCTGAGTCAGTCTAAAGATGGGTGGAAGTGAGCTTGCAGAACAGTTGCACAGTAAATATCTGATCGTACAAACGATGGAGCAGGGTGATCGGGTGAAGGTAGCAGCAGAATTCGTAGATCCAACACTGAGAGCAGCGATGGGCATTTGAAGGTCACCCTGTCAATGTGGGTGCATGAATGAATGTGTTGGGACTTCAAAACCTTGGACTTACATCTGACGTTGGCCCCTGGCTGCTGCTGCTTTGGGGACACTTGCCCTGTTGTGTGTGGAGTGTGTGGGACTTCTATGTGTGAAGATGGGGGGTGGAAGAGTGGGGGGCGGTTTCCATTTCTCCCGCGTGTGAGGCCCGGATCCTCTCTTAGTGAGGACTGTGTAGTACAGCAGCTCCCACCTCATGTGGTAGTGAGCACTTGAAATGTGACTCATGAAGCTGAAGAAGAAAAGTTTCACTTAACTTTCAACTAATAATTACAAAACCTTTAGGTTGTTTAAGACAACTTCAATATGTAAATCTCTTTTACCATTTTTATTCATTGAGAATTTCATACATGTTTACAATATAGTTATGCCCTCCTTCCAACTTGTCCTTATAAATCTATTTTTATGAGCATACATTTATATACATATTAATTTTTCTGATTAAAACTTAACAAAGGGGCTGAAAGTGCTTATTAGACTTCAAACACTTGGTATGAAAACAATGTGTAATACTTATTTGTGAATTAGGTATTCAAGTATAATACTGTAGGAATATTGGAATAAATATATTTACATGCTATTAAAACTAATTTTGCCTCTTGAACTTGTTGCTGAAGTGTCTGGAGTGTTTGAGATTGACTGTGCTATATGCTTTTTGCTAGGTAGAACTGTAGATAATAAATGATCAGTGCAGACTACAAATTTCAGAAGCTTATCTTTCTGTTTTGATCAATCGGTAAACGCGACAGGCTTTCAAGGCATGCAAAAAAAAACCCATGTTCAAATATTGACCATTTTCTTAGAGGAAGAAGTAAAAAACATACATTAAAAAAATGGCTAGCGTGCACTGGGCCCTGAGTTCAATCCCCAGCACCATGAAAATAAAAATTCATCAAGGGTGTAGACTCCATCGCCACAGTTTGAATTACGTCTGTCCAAGGCAGTACTTGTAATAAACATAACTTTAGTTTAGACATGTATCTTTATTAGATGTTAATCTTGCCATCATTTCAGTGTCATTGAGGACAGCCAAAGTAGGACAATAGAAAAAAAGCTGAAGAAACTGTATAAATCACAGAACCCATCCTTGATTTATACAGAAGAGGGTACCATGTGAAAACTTGAAAGTATATCTGGGGAGGAGTTGCATCAAATACCACAGTTGATTTCACAGGAAAGAACAATGATGTCTAGTTTTATGCTTACAGGGGAAGAAAGATCTATGAGCCTCCTCGATACATGAGTGTGAACCAGGCAGCCCAGCAGCTTCTGGAAATTGTTCAGAATCAGAGAGCACGCGGGGAAGAACCAGGTACTTAGGCCTCTTAGGTTGTTTTTCTAACAGGCACATACATTATTACATATCTGACACACACTCACACCAAGCTGAAGCAGGGTCGGTATTTTTACCTTGTTATGTGTATGTCTTGTATTTTTACCTTGTTATGTGTATGTCTTGTATTTTTACCTTGTTATGTGTATGTCTTGTATTTTTTCCCTAATTTTAAATCTGACAGGATTCTAGTTATACTAAAAAAAAAAAACAATTGAGTTCTTTACAGTAAAATTGTCATAATTTAAAGCTTTAAAAATGAAGGCTTTTAGCCAGGTAGTGGTGGCACACAGCTTTAGGTGAACCTCCGTGAGTTTGAGGCCAGCCTGATCTATAGAGCTAGTTCCAGGACTGCACAGAGAAACCCTGTCTTGAAAAACAAACAAAAATCAAACAAAACAATATATATCCTTGATATATATTACTTGATATATATATTACTTATAATCAGGTTTTATGTTAATATGGTAATGTATAAATGTTTGATAGAGAGCTATCATTTTAGTTCTAATCAATAAGATCTATACTACAAAAATACATTTATTCTGCTTTTTCTCCTCAACACTGAAATACAGAATAGTTTTCTTTAGGATAAAGATAAGACACTCCTAATAGGTAGACACAGTGTGTGGTATGCAAAAAGCATGTTTCCTGAGAACTTCTTAAATGTACCTGCCATATTCTGTTATGAACACTGTTTTTACCTGACCTCTAATAAAAACATGCATTTAGGCATTTTTGAGTGATTTTATATTTTTAAGTCTCTCTTGATTGCATACATTTATTTGTTTTTATGTGTATGCAAACTTGCAAAAATGTACATCTGGAGTTCGGAGGACAACTTTCAAGAGTCAGTTCTCCTTTCACCACATGGGTCCAAGGATTCAAACTCAGTCATCAGAGCATGGTGACAAGTACCTTTCCCTCCCGAGCCAGCCCAGCTATTTCACATTTTATCCCTGTCAGTGGCCCTGAGTTCCATGTATGTCCTCTTTGCCTTGTGTAAAATCTTGTTCCATTTCTTCTTAAGTCACTTTTCAGTGAGGAAACTTTGTAAACTAAAGGATAAAACCAATAAGAAGTCAGCACTTTAGCTGTAGCACCAAAATGAATGATTATAAAAAGATAAATATTGATATTTATTCTGAATTTAAAGCCCTACATACCCAGAAATGACTATTATTTGTTGTGGGCTTTATAGTTTACTAACTACTCTTTTAAGTATTGTATTAGCCCATACAACTACCATTTAAGAGGTAAAACATTTAAAAAAAAACTGGTTTGTCCTATAACTAATTAGATTGCTGAGCAGAAATTCAAATCTGTGAATTTTTCTCACTCCCCTAATTTTTACTGTGTCTTGGTCAGTATAAATGTATCTTACGAATGTATTTAGAATCTAAGTGTTGTGGCAGGAGGATGATTCACTCCTTGGGAACAGTTCCTGTTCTTAAGGAATGTGGTGGTTAGAAAAAAAAAGGCCCTCAAAGAGAGTGACACTATTAGGAGGTGTGGAGGAACTGTCACTGTGGAGGCAGACTTTGGGGTCTCATATATGCTCAAGATAGCGCCCAGTGTCTCAGACCACTTGCTGTTGCTTGCAAGATGTGGGACTCTCAGCTACTTCTCCAGCAAGCACCATGTTTGCCTGTACTCCACCATGTCCTATCATGATGGTACTGAACTGAACCTCTGAACTGTACATGAACCACCCCAACCCAAGTAAATGTTTTTTAATAAGAGTTGTCGTGGTCATGGTGTGGTGCCTTTTCACAGCAATAGAAACCCTAACTAAGATAAGGAGGATCCAAGTCAGGTTCCTAGCAGCTACCTTAAATGCCTCACAACCATGTATAATTCCAGCTTCAGGGGATCCAACACCCTCTTCTGCCTACATACATGTATCTTTATAATATGTGTGAATCATAAGGATGCTCACTCAGAACCTGTTTTAAGACAAATATTATTATCAATATTTGGAGTATAGATACAGCTAATTCTTTTTCAAGTTGTTAAAAGATAAGCCTATGTAAACCTTTGGAAATCTCAAAAAGTAAACTGACTGGTCTATAGTGAATGACTAGAGAGGTTTCAGATATTTAAGACATTTTCAATGTACTTGAAGTACTAATATTTTTTGAATGTTGAACAAGGTAATTGATCTGCAGTATCTCCCTCCCCTGCCCCATTTTAAACAGTGATCACTGAGGAGACACTCTGTGTTGGCTTGGCCAGAGTTGGTGCTGAAGACCAGAAAATTGCAGCAGGCACTTTACAGCAAATGTGCACAGTGGACTTGGGAGAACCATTGCATTCTTTGGTCATCACAGGAGGCACCCTGCACCCACTGGAGATGGAGATGCTCAGTCTTTTCTCTATACCGGAATCCCAGAGTATTAATGGACTCTGAACATGGACCTTTTCTGTTGTCTCACATTAATTTCAGTTCGATTGGGTGTGTGGTATTTCTATGACAAATGGCATGGGTCTGTCATTTATCTAGAAAGTATAACAGAAGTGACCAAGAGGAAACAAGTTGACTCAACAGTGTTTGGTTTCCTGCAGCGGTTTTCCCCCAATTCATCATCAGTTGCTGTTGGAGCATCAGTTGGCTGCTTGTCAGGGTATACACACATGGGGCAGACCAAGCTGGAAAAGTGTGCCTGGACATTCAGAGACATCCTCTAAGAGTAACTCTGAGGAAACCGGAATGTGAATCATCTGAACCCTGTTTTTAAGGGACAAAGAAGTGCAGAGTGGTAACTAAAACATATAAAACTTGCTATTCGTTTATTGTTTTATCTCCTTTATAAAAAGGTAGCTGTTCTGTTGTGAACTGAGAACGCGCCTTGGAAAAGTGCTTCTGTGCAAGCATTGAGACCCAAAATCCCCAGCACTCACGTGACTAGTCCGGTGTGGCAGTACATGGCTGGAACCCTGGTGGTAGGAGGGGAGCAGAGAGGCAGGTCCCGGGGCTTTCTGGCTAATCTGTGCATGCCTTACTCAACGAGAGACACCGTTTCCAAAAAATACGTTGATAACTGAGTATGGTAGTGTACGCTTTAAATCCCAGCACTTAGGAGGCAGGCAGATTTCTGAGTTTAAGGCTAACCCAATCTTCATAGCAAGTTCCAGGCCACCTTGTGCTATATAATAAGATATCTCAAATAAATAAACAGTAAGTAGTGGAGCAAGACAGAGGAAGAGGATACCCAGTGTGATGCTAGTCATCACATATACACACTTAACAATTTTAAAAGGCCCATTTGTTTAATAACCATCAAGTGCTATACCCTTGTTGGTCTGGAATAGAAGTAGCTTTGTTGTAAGCTACTGTGATAGTTCAAGTCACGAGTATTTCTATAGCCTAACCAACATGCCCTTTTTCTTAGTATATTCATGAATATTGGTTGAGATTTTTCCTACTTTCTGTTATTATGTGTTAGCTAGAAATTATTTTGATGTTTCATTTGGGATGAAATATTTTAATGTGTACAAAACATTCCATTTTCAGTCTCGTATGCACACAAGAGGGAAGAACCAAGTACCTTAAGTCGATTTCATAGTGTTTTCTTCAGAGATGTTAAACGAAACATTTAAAAATGACAAAAAAATAAAACCTTCTGGGTTTGGTAGTTGAATAGCTCACACCCTGCAGTTGTGACTCTGCTAAGTGGAAAGACACTGGGGAGTCAGCAGATTCAGAATTCTGCCTATGTGGCTTTTCCTGTCGAGGCATTCCCCGACTTCAGTTCAGCCTAGTTGGTGTTGTACTGGGATGAGATGGTTAATGGATTGAACTGTGGGCTATGATCTTAGCGGCATATCTTAAATGCTCAGCTCCCTCTTATTGTGTATAGGAAGATTCAGGATCCAGGTGAAAAGTCAGGCCAGGGGCCCAAAGAAACAGACATTGTTTTCTATTGCAAGAGAAGACAGCTTCAAGTTTGGATTCTGACAAGTTAGAAGGGCATGATAAATATGCATGCTTTCTTATCAGAAGCCAGGAATGGCCATGTACTAGTAAAGACCAGGCTTGGAACTAAACTGAGGACAAAGCATTTCATATAATGTGAATTAGGCCTACGTAAAATAAAGTGACAAGCAAGTAGTTTTATGCCTATTAGAACAGAATTTAAGATGGTTCAGAATGTGGTGAAAAATTAATGTTAACATCAACAGTGGCTCTAGAACACAATAGGAGGCATGACTTTATGATTAGAAAGGAAGAATGCTGGGGTAAGATGTTAACATAACCTAGACTTCGGAATTAGTAGATATAAAAGACTAGCACTTTAGAGCTGTGCACAGAGGAAAAACACAGGTGCTTAGAATGAGTGAATATAATGAATACTGCCATCCAGGAGATGGAAATAGCAAAAAGAAAAACCAAATTGGCCAAAGTACAGAGGAAGAGAAGTTGTCCAACCTAAAGAAGAAGATTAAAGGGGAACAACGATCAGAATCATAATGTCTACACTTGGTGTGAAGAAGAGACTGTGTGTGTGTGTGTGTCTGTGTGTCTGTGTGTGTGTGCACCAGTGCTTGTTTGCAGGTGAGAGGACAGTTTGTAGAAGTGGGTTGTAGAGAATGATCTCAGGGTGTTTGGTGTGACAACAAACACTTTTATCTGCTGAGCCATTTCATCAGCTCCAATATCAAGCAGTTTTAATAAACATCTAAGTAGATTCTCAAAAATGAAGAGAAATAGGGCTGTTTTTAAAAAATGAAAATGACAGTCAAAATTTCCTCAAATTTAGTAAAATAATCAATACACTGATCCAATATGCTCAATGAATTATACGCAAAACAAGTAGGAAACCCATAACATTCAGGTAAAACTGATAAAAACCAAAGTTAGTTGGAAAAGGTAACAAGGAGAATGGGGGGCTCCGCAAATGTAATTTGAAATTTAAGTTAGGTTTATCTGTTATTGCTCAACCTGGAAAACCTGTAGTTTAACCTCAATATAAATGAAATTATAAAATGAGAACTCTTTACCAGCGTGAAGAGGATTAGTGTTGGGGTCTGCTGTATGGAAACCCCAAGGTGAAAATAGAGATAATAGAAAAGTGTATGTATATATTTGGTGTTTATTTAGTAGTTTTTAACTCTAATGGGTTTTGATGTCTTGGTTTTTGGTCTCTATTAGCTTTTGACTCTGCAGTGCTGGGGCAGAGGCTGCTTAATCGCATGGCCTTGTCTATGCTAGGAAAGTATTTTACCATTTTGTTTCAGCCTAGCTGGTTTTAACGAATCAAAATTATGATACAGTAAAATGTCTTATAGTCTTATAGTTACTCATCATCCAGAAGAATTCATTTCCTCTGTCTGTTTACTCTTCTATCTCATCAGTAATTCCATGAAGCCAGTGATCTGTTCCTTTTCGATAGTTTTGCCTTTTAAAGAATGTCAAAAAGGGGTCTGGGGATTCCATTAACAGGGTGTTCTCAAGATTCATTCAAACTGTCCCAGCTATCAAGAGTGTATTCCTTTTTACTATTATTTTACTAAATGGACACAGCATCAAGTCGCCATCTAAACAGGTATTCCTACACCCATAGCAGATGTGACCCTCCATTCTCATCAGAGAAAAGTCCTCTTGTAGTGGATAGTTAATGCAGAGATTCACTACTGGTCATAGTGCAGAGACAAGTACTTGTGGAGCACTCAGCCATAAACGGGACATCTGTATTATACCTCCTTCCTGTCAAGGGCCAGGGAACATGGAGAAAGAGGGGACAAAGAGATCAGAAAGGATCAGAGAGAAACTGTCTTTTGGACATGACCATTGCACCCATGAATCTGTGGTAGCTGTGGTTGTTTATACAATATCAAGCCAATCAACCTTCCAACATGGATGGGGGAGGGGCACACGAACCCCAACTCTTGCCTAAAAGCTATTGATAGCTAGAGGCTACTAGGAGTGTAGTTTCTAGTAGGTTGCCCATACTTTCGGAGAATTGGCATACCCATGTGTATATGAGCAGCCCGAATTGAACTCTGTCCGGGTTTTTTTTTTTAAAGAAGTTGGAAAGGGAATGTGGGGAATATGCACAAGGAGTTGAAGGTGGATAGTGGGAGTCAGATATGGTCAAACACATTGTACAAATATGTGAAATTCTGAAAAAATAAATACATTTTGGTTGCCTGTGCTAGTTGATGTCAATTATCAGTCTGATTGCATTAAGAAATGGGTAGAGTACCAGTGAGGCGCACTTTTGGGTGAGAGGGTATTTCTACCTGTGAGGAAGCTCTACCCTGAATATGGGCAGCACCATCCCATAGACTTGAGTTCAGAATCATATATAAGGGGAAAAGGAGAATAGATACCTAAACACCAGCATTTTCCTTTCTCCCCAATCCACCAAGAAATGATAAACAGCCTCATGCTGCTATCAACAGGGTTCTGCTACAGTGCCGTCCACACCATGATGGACAGTGTCCCTAAGCCAAATTAAACCTTTTTCCCCTCACATTGCATTTGTCAGCGATGACGAGGGTGACTTAACCCTGCTAAAATGACTTCCAAACTGGCACTTCTGGTTTGCATTCTTACAGTACTGCATGGAAGTACTTGTTTGTTTCTTGCAAGACAACTGTGGACTGATTGGTTCTGTCTCCCACCCCAAACACTGCTAACTGAAGACAAGATGTGGTTTATTTAATGGTTGTTAATTTGCCACTTCTCAGATCACAGGCTCTTTAGTTAAGTGCAACTTAAACTCAAATTTCTGTGTGCCCATTGGGCGTTGTCAAGACAGGCAGACTCCAATCCTCTTGATTTCTTTAGGTTTGTATCAAATCTTAAGAGAGAGTACACTTCCTTTAAGAATCTTCAAAATTATTTTTCTAGCCCCCCCCTTTTTTTTACACATTAACCTTATCAATACTTGCAATGATGCCTGTGAGGTTTTGACTGAAAGTCCTCCATACAGTGTGGCTATTTTGATTTTTATCCCATTTGGGATGTAATCAGCTTCTTGAATCTATAGGCTTATGTCACCAAATGTGGGAGTCATACAGCCATTCTTCTAATGTATTTTCGCACTAAATGCTTTGGCCTCTTTGTTTCATCTCTGATGAATCTGGTAATAGGAATAGCAGGCATTTCTCATCCCATAAGTCTCTGAGTTCTGTTCTGTTCCTGTTGTTTCATTCTTAAATGTTTTGCGTGTTCTGAGTAAGTAAAATTTCCTGATAATGTCTTCAAGGTTATTGACTCTTACTTCTTCTATACTGCAATTGAATTCATTTTTTGTGCTTTTAGAATTTGGATTACTGTCCTAAATGTCTAGTTTTTAAAAAGATTTATTCTTTTTATGCATATGTGTGCAACTGTGTGAGTTTATGTGCACCATGTGCATGCAGGAGACACAGGACAGAAAAGAATGTTGGATTCCCTAGAACTACAGTTACAAAACATTGTGAAGTCATCACATGGGAACCAGGCCTGGGTACTTTGCAAGAATAGTAGCTCTTAGCCACTAAGCCTTCTCCCCAGTCCTAATCTCCAATTGCTTACATTAGCCTTTGTTGGAAGATTATTGTGATTCTGTGGTTGTGCATTTTTATAGAGGTTACTTCCAGGTCTTTATTAGGTTATCCCCATGTTGATGTTGCTACCATACTTGATAGCCTGGAATTTAATGTGGACATTCTGATATCATATATGAGATCACTTCACCCAGTTCTGCTGTGAAGTGAGCCTTTCTGTTCCCAGAAATAAGCAATGTGGTAAAGGGCAGGATGTGACCACTAGTCTGTCTTGTCCATAAACTGGCCAAAGACAACAGGTCAAAGACACAGGTCAAAAACCCTGTGGAGTTTGTCCTGTTCAGTGTGGGACTTGGGAAGTTACAGGGCTTTTTAGTTTGCTGAATAGGATCGACATCAAAGCATAATGATCTGAAAGTGATCCTTGGGGTTCATAATGTTATTGTGCTCTCTGCCTCCCAGCCTTTCTCCTACATCACAGTTCCCTGGGCTCCCAATTCAATCTATTGCCAGGGACCGGACATTCTAATTACTCTTTATTTCGTACTTCCATGAGTGTGACTTAGTCCTCATCCATGTGGAAAAGAAAGAGAAATTTGCTCTGCCTTTTGGAAGCCATTGCTTTTCCAATCAGAAAATCTACCCTCTCCACAAGTCGAAGCTTCTGTTGGCTTCCGTAGCTTCTGGCTGTCCCCACAGTACCGCCTCCAACAAGCTTCCTCAAGCTAACAGGACTGTAGATGTATTAACTTTACCTTTTGGAGTCTGTCTGAGCCAATGTGACCTATATACTAATTACTACTCAAGGGGAAGTAGCATGACGTAGAGAATTCCTGTAAAGTTAAACATGATGATCTAATTCAATGCCTAGGGTGAGGACAAGGTGAGACTATCACATAGTTCCTATTTTACTTATAATTTTAGATGATCACATTTCTAAAAGTTAAAAGATGGCAAAATTATAATTACCATGAAACTATGCCTATACTTACATGGAAATATGAATCTGTTTATAAAACATTATACTTGCAAAGAGAATATTTCTTTCCAAATTCAGGAGCTACTGTTGGAGATGTTTCAACTTTGTATTGTCTTTCTTTTAGTCTTTTAAGATAGGAATATCTGGCCTACAAAAAAAAAAAAGGTTGAACTTTTCCCATTAAAAAACTGTGTGTGTGTGTGTGTGTGTGTTGGGTATCTGTATGTATGTGTGGATACAAAAAGGTATATGCACACATTTAGAATCCAGAGCAGGACATTGGATGTCTCTAGCTTATCTTTTTGAGGCAGTTTCTCATTCAACATGTAGGTTGGTGACCTACATGTCCAGGCTTATGCTGGGATCTGAACTCAATGATACCACACTTGCTCAGTAAACCTCTTACCACTGAGCCATCTGTCTGGCTTGCTTTTTTCTTTTTTCCCCCAGTAAATTTTGATTGCCTGTTGTGCATTCTAATGCTACCTCATCAGGCTCCTTGGTTTTAGGAATTTAGCAAATATAATTGAATTAATTGTCTTTTTAAATGTTGGTAACACAGTCAAGCATGAGTTTCATGGCAGATTAAAAAAAACATGTTATTTTTAGTGTGTATGGTGGTTTTCCTACATGTATGTGCACCATGTGCATGTGTACCACAGATGGTTGTGAGATGCCACATGGGTGTGGGGAATTAAACATGGATCCTTTGGGAGAGTGGCCACCTCTCCAGCCCCAGTGGTAGATTTTTCAAAACTTGGAGGTAGGGTTAGGGAAACTTAACAGTGTTCAAATGAGCCATCAAAGTGCTGTTAATTTTCTTTTTTTCCCTTGAAAGAGAATGCCCAACAGTAAATTGCTGCCATCATGTTTACATCTGTTGATGAGTTTGCTTCTCATCTCTGTTGTGTCTCCAGCCTAGATGCAAAGCTTGCTTATTGCTACCCTGAGACATATGACCAAATAAGGAAGAAAACAAGCATTTAAGAGTTTCCAGAGGGTTTGGAGATGGCTCAGCAGTTAAGAGTGCTAGCTGACTGCTCAACTCTTCCAGAGGTCCTGAGTTCAAATCCCAGCATCCACATGGTGAATTGCAACCATATATAGTGGGGTCCAATGCCCCCTGATGTATAGACAAAGGATGTGTATACATAAACGACATAAACAAACCTTTAGCTGGGCCTGGTGTACTCAGGAGGCAGAGGTAGGTGGATCCATGGGAGTTTGAGGCCAGCCTGGTCTACACAGTGAATTCCAAGACAGTCACTTGTCTCAAAAAGAAAAACAAAACAAAACACCCTAAGACAAACAATAACAAAATTCATAGAAAGTTGTGTTTCATAATTGATAGGTAGCTTGTCAACACTATATACCAGGAATGTACACTCTACCCACTCAAAAAAAAAATCTAATCACAAATGTAGATTCAGAGTTAAAAAAAGAATAATAATGGTCATATTAAGGAAGAACCAAAACAAGTAGGAAGCGATGAGAAGAACCAGCTTCTGAGCTAGAGGACTGAAAGAGCACTGGGAAGCTTGCTTTGGCAGCCAGGCAACATAGGCAGCATTCTGGGGAAGCAGTAGACTCTTAAACACATGATTGGTACAGCATGGAACTGTAGAACACAGCTTGTCTCAAACTCTGAGAGCTGAAAAGGTTGTGACTGTCCACAGGCCATGGGAGGACTTCGTCTTGGTGGCTAATTCTAGGAACCATAGCAAAGGCAGAGTTCCCCTGACTGCTACATACCTAGTGAGTACAAGTGCCAGCCAAGGTGAGAAAGAAGTCCATAGAGCTGCTGCCATGAAAATCCAGCCCTGAGGATGCACTCCCTGGTACCAAGTCTTTCTATGCTGCTGTGAGGGACTGAAGACATGACGAAGCTGGGCACGGACTACGTGGGAGGATGAGCAAGTCTCAAATGTGACCCTGCTTTCAGGCCATCCTGGGATACAGCAGTAGTCCTGGAATGGAAATTGAGAATTCAAAGAATTTTAAAGGAAGGGAAAGACTTTGTGGTAGGAGGAAGGAAAGGTGGTCAAGGCCACATTTCAATTTCTTAGGATCCTAAAACTCTGAATAGAATCGTCACTGAGAAGCAATTTGGATGGAAGAATTTTGTTTCTGCCATGAACATGCCACATGTGCCGCTGATGGCCTTTAAACAACTCGACCAAACTGAATTGAAGCCAGAGTACTAGGAGCTGTAGAGACAGACGCAGCAAGCAGCACGTGTCCACACGTTGAGGATCTGCGGGGATGCAGCAGAGAATGTCCCTGTAGTACAGTCAAGGCTGATGGGGAAGTTGTCTTGCTAAGAATCACTTTGCAGGTGAAGTAGAAACACTGCACTGGAAACTCCAAGGAATTTACGAGAATTACCTTAGCAAAGACTCCTAGTAATGGGGGACAGGAAACAGCCGTCTTCCGTAACCAGGCAAGTTCTCAAGTGGAGGGATGGGGACTCCAACCCAGCCACAAAACCTGACCTAGTTTGTTCTTCCTGCAGAGTGTTCTGGGATTGGAGCCCAGCAGAATCCTCATCAAAGAGACCAGAAAGACCTCATCTAGCAACTTAATGGGAGCAGAAGCAGAGTCCCACAGCCAAGCATTAGGCAGAGGAGGGGGAGGAAGGATCAGAGGAACCAGAAGGGACAGGGACACCATGAGAACACAGCCTACAGATTCAACCGACCAGTGCTCACTGGGGCTCACAGAGATCAGGGTACCTGTAGGCATCTGACCTAGGCACTCTGCGAATATGTTATGACTGAGTAGCCTGTTGTCCTTGTGGTAACAAACAGTGGGAGCAGGGACAGTCTCTCACTGTTTAGCCTGCTTATGGGACCCTTTTGGTCCTACTGGATTGCCTGGTCCAGCTTTCAATGTGATGGTATGTATCTGGTCTTATGTAGCTTGTTAGGCCATGTTTGGTTGATGTCCCTAGGAGGCCTGCTCTTGTCCGAGGGGAGGTGGGGCAGGGAGAGGCTTGGGGAAGGGGAGATTGCAGTCATGATGTAATTAATATATGAGAAGAACACAAAAGAATCCCTTTGACAAGATGGCATGAGATATTTTCCTGGAATTTTTTTCATTTTAAAAATATTTATTTAGAGACAGGGTCTTAATTTGTAGCTCCGACTACCCTGGAACTCACTGTGTAGATTGGATTGGCCTCAGACTCACAGAGATCCACCTGCTTTTGCATCCTTCTGGCTATTGAGATTAAAGGCATACACCACCATATCCGGCAAAAGGAATTACTGCTGACAAGAAAGGTTGGAGGGGTCATGTAGAGATCAGCTTCATGTAAGATGAGGTCACCCATAGAGAGGCAGGAACAACTCAGTGCTGATGGAAATCTCAAAAGATCATTCTAAAGGGATCTGAGCTAAAGGAAGAGCCTCTGGGTTAACACCTTAGCATCTGGTATCTAGATTCTGCAAGCATTCTTTCTGGTCCATTCAACTCAGACATGACCCATGAAGACTTTTAAACAGAAATTTAATTGAAAACAAATTTTCAATACAGCTGTATATGATCATTTAAAAATACATTGTGGTTAGACAAAATATGTATGTGAACGTCGTATGCAAGTAGAAAAACGTGAAAGATACATACATTGTGATCTGTTGTGATGCACTTGGGTAAGTCATAATTGGTCACTGCAGCACTTTCAAACCATCCAGGTTGCTTATATGTGCCATTCTTACCTGGCCTTGTATGTAAACATTCGTAGAAATGTTGCGATATCTACCATCTTCACCAAAGGAAATCAATCCCCAGTCCAGGATTGGCCATGTTTAAAACCATTATGAACAGGAAAGTGAAGTGTGGGCATGTTCAGAAAATATGAAGATGGAATCTAGCAAATTTTCAGTTACATCATTTTCAAATTAGGGGAGAAAATGTACAAAAACATTTGAATGGAAACAAGACAAAAATGACAAGCGTAATCTAGGGGCATTTAGATCACTTAATACACATGGTGTTTTCATTAGAAGCTTCTTCAAGGGATTTCTCTGAGAAAGAGTTTTGGATGACAGAACATTCTGGGGGAGTAGACAGTTCTTAAAAGATACGGCAATATGGAATTCTACACCAAAACACAGGAGGCGACACAATCCCCAGGGTGGCTGTGTAGTCCAGAAGGCCATAGCGCATAGTCTCAGTTCTGCCAAATCCCAAACAACATGGAAAGCAAAAAATGAGATTGAGTGACTCCCAGGCTAGCTGGGGAGAAATGGACAGAATGGATAGAACGCCAGCCTGCACAGACATGCCAGAACTCCTGAGATGCTTTCTGCAGTGAGTCTCAGCTTCCTCCTGTTCCTCTGCTTCAGCTTGTGTCTGCTGTGGCCTACTAAGAGTTACTGGTAACTAAATATTCATGAATCTGTAAGCATAAACTCACTGAGTCAAAGCAGAGAAAGATATACAAGACTTCTTTTGGTTTGTTATGCTTTCCAACAGGGTCAATGTTATAAATTCGTATTCAAAGCTATGATAGAAGCATGGCTTCTGTTTATGAAACAGACTTCTTATATTGAAAAAGTTTGTGTAACATGTAGCGTGTAAATCAGATACTACTTAACACTTCTGAAAATTGATCTGTGCTTTTTGGCAAACGATTCCCCAAAGAAGTTCTTGAGGGTGGGCACTCTCTTCTTCATGCTGGCACCGAGGTCGCTTGTGTCAGCAGCTCCACCATGACTTCCAGTGAAACTTTCTAAATGCTTGTAAAAGGAGTTCTAGTGCCACTTCCTCCAGCACGGTTTTGGATCAGTGGCCAAGTTGTGAATCAAACATACAGAGCATAGGAAGAAACAGGCCGGAGACTGTTTGTGAATGTTCTCATAGCAATGGCACCTTGAGTGTTCACTGATTTTCCAGGAGTCTACATAGATGTGCTACAAATTCTTGGGCCTTATAAAAACAGTCATCAGAAAAGACTGAGTTGCTGCCATACCATAGACTCTCCCCAGATAAGGACTCCTTCCTCATGCTATGAGGATCACGGACTAGATTTTAAGATGCTATCAATCATAAAATCATGCAACCTCCTCTTTATAAGAATGGAGAATTAAATGTCAGAAAATGAGAAAAGCCACCAAGTGCCTGGACACATACTTAGCAGAGGCTATCTACCTTGTTTTCTGTGTTATCTGCAGCTAGGAAATGGCTAAGGCTAAATATAAACCAAAGATGACCTCATCAAAAAGTCCCACCCATTTGGCCTTTAAATGGAGTTACACCTCTCTGCTATATTTCTGCAAACACTTTCTTTCATATACAATTTTTTCAGTGTCTTGATTCTGTGATAGAGATCTGAATCATTAAGGAGCCTCTAGAAATCCTATCTTGAGAATCTTTCTTAGAAGATTTAATGAATGTTCTTCAGAGGCTAAAAGACTCCCCCACCCAAGATTCTTATGAATTAGAAAATAATGTGTGTCAACAATGGTGACTCTTTGTAAAACGAACAAAAAGACCTTAACTTGGCCAAGGTAATACATTCACAAAGAGTCAAAAGCAGTGGTCTAGTATTTGCAGTTCTGATTGAGATTTCTAAACTTGACCCATACATTCACTGTCCCCATTTGCACAGCTCTGAGAATTTTTAAAGTAAAAACACTCGCCAGGGATTGGGAAAGAATATGGCAGGCAGGGCTGAAATGGCATGACCTGTGAATCAGCCTGCTATCTAAAAGGAACCAGTTTACAGTATATAAGCAAAATTAGGAAAGTGAGTCAGTATTAAACTAGACTGAGCCTTGGGCAATTAATAAAAATTCATTTACAAGTTAAGTATCTAAAGTACAATTTTGTTTTCTTTTTCCAAGTCAAGAGTTGGTTTTGAAAGAATAAAAAATAACTATTATAATTTATTCTACAACAAATACTATGGAAATAATCTAAACTTCACAATTATATATGAAAAATGAGACAACATTCCATTTATAAAGTGCCTTCATCTACCAAAACTAGAGGTCAGAGTTCTTTATTTACAAGCCATATTTAATCACATTTACAGAAAGGCAATGTCACACAGGGACGCAGCTCAGTACAGTGTAGAGAACTCTCAAGTTGGCATCAGATAATCGCCTTTGAGCATTGGCTTCGCCACCACTCATCCCTGTAATCTTAAGGAAATGACAGCTTTTCTGGACCTCAGGTTTCTCATCTGAACGTGAGAGGTAGAACCAGACTGCTCCCTGCACAGTCTTTGCTTAGGTGTCAAACTCTACAGTAAGTAATGCGCTACTCTTAACTCCCAGCATTCTACACCAGGTTGGTTTCCATGTTACTGTCTGTAAAAACAAAACATGAGAGTTCTGATCGGCTACATTGCAGGTTACTGATTTGGCTGCTTTATCGAGGTACACAGAAGTCACAGTATTTTGGTTACCAGTACATATGTGTAGGCTTTGAAGAATCTAGACAAAGAGACATCACAATGACATCTGTTGCCATGATCTTACACCTCCACTACAAAAGAAGGCTGGATGACAGTAGAGGAACACTAACCTACACACATAACCAGATACTGTCCTTCAGAAAGACACAAAGAGTTTCCAAAATGAGCAGGTTGGACTTCGGTCAAGTTCTTCATCAAGTATTACAACGAATTTTTAAAATACATCTAGTTGGGGATGTTTGTCTGGTAAGGTAAACTTTCCCTGAACAAAGTAGGTTTGTTACTCAGAGGAAAATACTTTGGTTATTCATAGATTGGCAAATTTTGCACTCAGACTGGCCTTTTTTTTTTTTAAGAATATTAACCTAATGTTAGGAACATTCTAAATGAATTTTATTACCATAACCAAGTAGTATTTCTTAGTAGAACCACTGGTTAGTATTATGCTGTATCAATAACACTAGACAAGCTTTCTTTCTGTGAAAAGTTGTTTCTGCTCACATTTTTTTTTGTACACACAGGTATGCAAACATTTAATTAAGCAAAAATGTAAATGCCAACCTGCTAAATGTTATGAGCTCGCAGGCCCTTAGAACAAAGTGCAAAATTAGTTTCACATCAAACACATTCTATGCCTCATCAAAGGAAAAAGCAACATTCTTGGATTGGTGCACTCAGGGTCTAGTTAAACAGAATGACCTATTTCGACAAAAATTCCACTTGGAATTAAGGGCCCAGTGGAAAGCAGATTTGGTAAATCTTAGAACTCCACTTGTAAAGGCTCGCACCCAAGTATGTGCTTTCATCTAGACCTGTCATTTCCAGAAGTATGCCCCAGCCCACAGAATATCCAGGGTCTTTCGAACTCGGCTACTCAGAATGGAAATGAAGAAGCAGTGCAGAGCCAGGACATCTCCATCTGTACTTTCCCTCCTGACAGACTACCAAATTGTTTCAGCTAAACCCCATCTACTGCAGCCTGGCAGAAAGCAAACAGGTTTTGAAATCCCTTTGACTTTAAAAAGGGCACCACAGACATTGTGTGGTATTCTGCTGCAGTTGAGACTGGTACAGCTCTCCTCCTATAGAATGGTTCATAAATCGTAGTCAGAAGTAGGAGAAAAGGTACTCAAAAGTTCTGGCAAAAATCAACAGTAAATTCTGCCACCTTAAGGATAAAATATCTGTTACTGATCTACGCTCTTAATTTCTGCCTTTCAAGGTTTTTAAATTTTTGCTAACAATATCAACTTACTTAAACTAAAGGGAATATTTGTAGAGATAAATGAAGTATAGTGGGAAAATGTTCACTCAAAACAGCGTCTCTTCAGAAAAGACCAAGAATACTTGAATGTTAAGCACCTGTCATCTCAAATTGCAGTTTACTTATAATTTAAGACACATTCTCTCTATGTAGCCCTGGCTGTCCTGGAAAACCAAGCTGGCCTTGAACTCAAGAGATCTGCCTGTCTCTGCCTCCTGAGCGCTGGGAGTAGTATGCATCATCATGTCCAACGCAATTTTATTTTTCTCATACTCAAGACCCTAGAAAATCAACTATTTGTAAGACACAAATTTTAGAAAGAATTCTCTATCACCACATTTGCTCCATAGTTATAACAGTTCACACTCAATCAAATGTTATCCTAGAATTCCTGGAAGTAATTTGTATTTGTGCAAACAAAACCAGGAAAAGAAACTGTACTACTTGGCACTTGAAAAGAATATGAAGATGTAAAATGTCACTGTCGCTGTTCTTTCTGCCAACTCTGCGGTGCTTTCTCTCATCATTAACAGAATCTGTAAAAATGGCAAGGAGAACTACTGGAGAATTTACCACAGACAGGCCAAGATTTTATAGAATCTGTAATAGAGCAGATTTTTTGGTCTAGATGATTTTTTTCTTGTGTATCTGTACTTTTAAAAGTAGTCTACAAAGTATCTTAATGTGATCACTGAATTTTTTATAAAGCAAAATAATGTCCTTTTTCACAAGAAATTTAATATAGTTAAACCTATGCTGGAAATATGCAAAAGACAATTATATATGTTACTAGCAAGTCTTATTTCATACAAATTACAGAATATCCATTAAAAAAACATACATATGACCTTTGATGGTACATTTCTGTGCTGGCAAATATATTTTCGGATACAAAGGCACTTTGAAAACCCAATATGGTTTGGTTCTTAAGTTTGCAAGGTACAAACAATTTTACAAACGTATGATTACATTGAAGACCGTCAACAAGTGACATTACATAGAAAACAGACTTCTGCTTGTAAAAACAACACTGGTTTCGTGGGGATAAAAGCAGTGGTTTCCAGCAGCTTTAGGAAGAGCGGCCCACGGTCTTAATTTCTCACTGGCTCGGTGTGAGATGATAGGATGGGCTGAAGGTGATCAGCAAGAACCTCCAGGGGGAAAAAAAAAGACGACCCAACACCCTAGAACAAACCCAGAAACCTTAGCAATCAGAATGGCTTGGAGGAAAGAGCACACAGGGCCACAGTCTGGGCAGGGTCCGGCTGTGTCCCCAGCACACGCTGACTCTACCTGCACTACTTGGTGCTTCCGAGCTGTAGAGATGACGCCTCTATTTTAGAGCACTGGGTAGTACAATGCTTTGGATTGTACAGTACTGGAAAGTTTTGGTCCTCAAACAATTTCTTTTCATTGATTACATCGCTGCAAAGTCAATCTGTACATAAAGCTGCCTCACTCCAGCCTGAAAAATAGAGAGAAAATATTAGAACACCAAACCTATAAAACCTGTAATAGATGAACATCCTAGAAAAGAGACAGGAAAGCAAAACAACACCTCATTTGTCTTTGAAAATGGAATTGCTTTTGTCTTCTGCTTCCAAGAAACAGTCTATTTTCATTGTAAGTTGTCAAACCACTACAAGGGGAAAAAAAAAAGAAGTCCATGCTATTAGTCTCATGCCCTCTCACGTGCTATTAGATGGAGTTATCCATATCTATCACTGTTGTCTAGATTTTATCAATGCCTCTATTAGATGGAGTTATCCATATCTATCACTGTTGTCTAGATTTTATCAATGCCTCTTGCCTGACTTTCACAGTTTTGTTTATTCACAGTAAGGACATGATGATGTTTGATTAGTTAGCCCCTATTGAAACCAGCTCACCACAGGCTAACTCTTCCCATGACAATATCTGCATTTATTCAGTAATCACAGTAAAATAAATGTTACTTATTTTACATTCCAATTGCTTCAGTTTGGGATATGAACTTGCTATTCAAGAACACTGCTCCCTAAATTGTCCCTATTTCTTCTATATTATCAATTGTATTCTCTCAACTGGATCATTTCTATTAGTGTCAAACATACTATAGTTTCTTCTACCTTAAAAACTTTTTTTTTGGTTTTTTTTTTTTTTTTTCGAGACAGGGTTTCTCTGTGGCTTTGGAGGCTGTCCTGGAACTAGCTCTTGTAGACCAGGCTGGCCTCGAACTCACAGAGATCCGCCTGCCTCTGCCTCCCAAGTGCTGGGATTAAAGGCGTGCGCCACCAACGCCCGGCCTTACCTTAAAGACTTTTTACTTAATCCAGCACCCCTTTCCTGCCTGGATAGTCTCAATCACTGCCCTTATGAAAAGGCAAAAATCCCAAACATGTCCACAAACACTGTCTCTAATTCCTTTGCTCTTGTAGTCATTTCTGCCCTGATTTTATATCTTACCATTTTCTAAAACGATTTGCTGTAGGATAATGAGTATTGGAAAATAGCTTACAGTGACTTTTTGGGAACTATTAGTAACAACTATCCCAAAACAGAGAGAATCAAATTCATAAAGAAAACAATTTGGATTCTTCCACATATCGTGAGACAAACACCTATTTCTGGAGTTCTTACCTTCTACACAGATACAAACAAATCAGGTAAGGCAGGGTATAAATCAGGAAATATAAGTAAAGTAGTTCAAAGCCTTTACAACTCTGTACAAAAGGCAGAGTTATATGCCATTCTCATGGTAAAGACTTTACAGAGCCTCTCAATATAGTCACAGATTCTCAGTATGCAGAGAGAGTTGTCTTGCACATTGAGACTGCAGAATTTGTTTCTGATGGCACAGAATTAACCTCATTGTTTTTACAATTACAGGAAACCATCAAAACAGAACTCATCATATATATATAAAACACACATCAGATCCCATACAGGTCTGCCAGGTCCTCTGGCACAAGGCAATGATGAAATTGATCGTTTATTAATAGGTAATGTGGTGGAAGCTTCAGAATGTCATACGAAATACCATGTTAACAGCAAAGGTTTAAAGAACGATTTTTCTATCACCTGGCAACAAGCCAAAGAAATAGCAAGAAATTGCCCCACTTGCTCATTCTACAATCAAACTCCATTACCAGCAGGTTGTAATCCTAAAGGTATTCACAGAAATGAACTTTTGCAAATGGATGTATTTCACTTCCCAGAATTTGGCAGTTTAAAATATATACACCATACCATAGACACGTTCTCAGGCTTCCAATGGACTACTGCTCTCAGCTCTGAAAAAGCTGATTCTGTTATTACACACCTCTTAGAGGTGATGGCTGTTATGGGTATACCTAAAACAATAAAAACTGACAATGCTCCAGCATATGTCTCCAGTAAATGGGAACAATTTTTCAAATATTATAATATAAAACATGTAACTGGTATACTTTACAATCCCACAGGACAAGCAGTGGTTGAAAGATCTAATCGAACCTTAAAAGAGATGCTTCATAAACAGCAAGGGGGAACAAAGACCCCCAAACACAGGTTACATAATGCTTTGCTAGCCCTGAATTTTCTCTAATGCTAATAAAAAAGGACAAACTACAACAGAAAGACACTGGACTACAGAGAAGACTTCTGAACTGAACCAACCAATGTATTTTAAGGATGTTATGACCTCAGTCTGGAAACCAGGATATGTGTTACGTTGGGGAAGGGGTTTTGCTTTTGTTTCCACAGGAGAAGAAAAACTTTGGGTCCCATCGAAATTAATTAAGATTCTATCAGAATAGAAGAGGTCTCAGGAGGAGGAAAGATGACAGCTCATCTACAAAGTCATATTCTACCATGTACTACTATGTGTAAGGAGACCTCATAAAAGGTAAGAGAAGTGTTCTGTTTGTGTCTTTACAGGAAAACTTAGTTCTGAACAGCAAAAAAAATACTGGGCATACGGATACCTAAAGAAGAAAGGATAGCTACCCAGAGGACCATCAAACATGCAATAATACAACGTGGTATCAATGTCTAAATCTCTCTATTTTGTTATTATAATTTCTAGTTTCTTTGCTTCTTAATATGCCTTAGTCCCAATTCATCTAATTAACGCTGGCTTTAGAGTTGGATTGGCTCTCCTGCTTTAAACCCAAGCATATTGTTAAAATACAATTCAGAATTTCTGTATTATATCAAAGAGCCATTTATATAAGACAGAAGAAAACAAAAATAGTGAGGGACTGTCATCTGTGTATACTTGGTTCTTTTTCTAAAATTCTAATCTCTTTCATGTTTATTATCTTACTTAGGGTTGCCTTTCCCAGTATGCATACATATAAAAGTTAAAAATTTCTGTGCTAACATTAATTTTTGAGTTTTCCAGAGAAAAAGGGATTTCTTGACAGCAATCTTTAACTGCTTCAGAAAGAGAATGGGGATTCATTTCCTCAACTCCACCTGATTCGACTGGATGCATCTGCACTGTCCCACATCATCGACCCCACCCGACAAGCATCATCTTGAAACCAGCTTGGAACTACATCACTCGACACATCTCCAGACCACTTCAGCAGGAAGTAAATTTGAGAATTCCACGTCCCTTCTCCCTACTATTGATATTAGAGGATAGTTTACAACTGTTAGTGTTAATTTTCAATTATTTTAGGGTTGGGATTGGAAGGAGGTGTTCAGACTTAGGTATCCCTTTCAGATAAGTTTAGAATTTAGGTGGAATGGATATGTTTAGCTTAGGATAAGTAGATTATAACTTAATTAACACTCTCTAGGTATGTATGTTGTATATGTTTGAGTTTGTATCAAATTTAAATCTTCTATTTAGACTAAAAGGGGAATTGTAGGAGTGAACCCCACAAAGCTATCCACCCATGAGGGCGGGGACAAGTAAATTAGCACAGGTAGAGATAAAAGGAAGCGAAAGGAAAAAGAACCTCTCTTTTGGAAGCCAGCCACGCTTCTAACTCCTAGCTTGTGTGATCCTCTCTCTCTGTGGTAAATAAATATATTGTGTCCCCTGTAGCATCGGCTATCATCTTTAGATCTGCCAAGCAACTTCCAAACTGCTCGTGTCATTCCATACACAGTTCTCAGTCCTGACTATCGGGAATAATACGTAAAACATGCTTCCCTATGACACTTCCAGAGAATATTCACTGGTCAATCACTTGCCAAACTGTCAGTCTCCTTCACTGTTTCTTCTATCCCATCATTGTGCAATAAACACTGACATGGCCAAAGGCTTAGTCCTTATAATCTACACTTGTTTTCTACTGGTCTCATTTTACAGCCAAACTGTAAATCAACCTTTGTATATGTTCACACCTCCATGTTTGTATGTCCAGACTGGAGTTTGTACCTACAACTTGCACTGGAACGTGACATTTTATTGGGGGTATCTAAGAAGCAGCACAGGACTACTCTGCTCTCTTTCTTCCCATCAATCCTGTTGACCTACCCTCAGTACTACTCCTTCTAAAGATATTTCTGTTTCTCACATCCAATATCCAACCTACTGCAAAACTTGTTGGCTTCCCATCCAAAACATCCAAACCCAGAACTTGACCATTTTACATCATCTCCATCACTTTGAACCCACCCTAGCCACAATCAGCTCTTTTCTAGATTTTATCAATGCCCCTTGCCTGGGTTTCACATTTTTGTTTATTTTCAGTAAGTAACTAGAACGACAAGCATCCCTCTATGCCTCCAACCATTCATCAGCAGAACTCCCTTAGTCCTTACAATGATCACCATCCTGCCATGGAATGTGGCTCCTGACTTGCCACTTGATCTCACTGTTTACTCCTCCTCCTCTGTTTATTCCTCTTAGCTATTCAGCCCTCCTGTGAACTATGCTCCTTAAGATAGCCACAGGACTATTTCAGAATATTCCTTTACACTGTGTGAAGATGTGTCACTGTGATTGGTTTACTAAGGAGCTGAATAGCTAATAGCTAGGCAGGAAGAGGTTAAGCGGGATTTCCAGGCGGGGCAGGGAGGATTCGGAGGGGAAGACAGGTGAGGTTTAGAGTCAGACTCAGAGAAAGCAGCATGAACAATACAGAGAAACGAGGTAAAGAGCCATGCAACAGAACGTAGATTAAAATAAATGAGTTAATTTAACTAGTTAATAAAAAATAGTGGGACAAGCCTAAGCTAAGGCCAAGCTCTCATAATTAATGTCTCCATGTCATTATTTGGGAGCTGACGGTACAGAGAAAGACTTGTAACACAAGATGTTCTCATCACAACCCTACCAGACATCGGTGAGGCCTGTCCTTACAACCCTTACAAAATGCATTCACTTTTTTAATACAAGTATTTACGGACATGACATGACATAACAAAAAAAGCCTTGTCTTCACTGAATTTATATTTGATCAGAGCCTGGAAAAGCAGAAGACGAAAACACCAGTTGTAAGATGTAATGCCAGAGAGGAAAAACAAAGCTTATTTAGGAGGAGGCAG